TTAATGGATGATGGATCAAGTTTTATTTGACTTATCATTTGTTAGATGCTACATTGATGATATTATTATTTTTAGTAGTACCTTATAAGATCATGTGAGACATTTACAAGGAATGTTTGAATAATTATAATAATGGAAATTATACTTGTATTATAGAAAGTATAAATTCTCCCATAAATGATTATCATAATTGGATTACATGATTATTCTAAGAAGTCTAGGCATACAATAAGCAAAGGTAGCTGCGTTATAGAAAATCTTGATATCAAGTATTATTTCACAACTTCAGACTTTTCTAGGGTTGGCAATCTACTACCAAAGGTTTGTTAAAAAATTTGGCATAATTGTCAAGCCTTTAGCCATTTTCATGGACAAAGATCAACCATAGACTTGACATTCTGAGCAACAACATGCATTTGATACATTGAAGTAAAAGTTGGATTCAACTCCAATGCTTTGACATGTGGATGCTAATTGATCTTTTCAACTACACACAAATTAGAATATAGTAGGATTGAGAGCAGTCTTGATACAAAAAGAAAGGTAGGATGGAAATATGTTATTATATTTGCTTCTAGAAATAATAACAATATAGAGTCAAATTACTTATTTTATAAAAGAGAAGCTTTAGAAGCAATTTGGGCCATTGCTCATTTCCAACCTTACTTGTATGGTCAATAGTTTATATCAATAATTGACTATCAACCTTTGAAGTAACTTATGGAGTCAGATAAGTTTATTGGCAAGTTTGCAAGATAGACTTTTTTTCTTCAAAAATATAATTTTGATGTTGTACATCAAGCAAGCATTACCAATTTAAATGCCAATGGATTTTTTTATAATCCATGTCGTTCAAAAGAAGACTTAAACAAAGTTTAATGTCATAGAAATTGTGATTGAAATGTACTCTTTGAATGGTACACAACTACATACTTGGCTTTAATATCAAGTTCTACAACCATAGTTTTTGATTCAAATTTAGATGAAGAATTAAACAAGAATCAAGTAATTAACAATGTATAGGATGATTTTGTAGTCTTACACAAGCTTCAATGACGAACATTTTCTTCAAATATATCTAATATGGAAAGGAATAAGATTAGTCACTAAATAATAAGATTTTGTTAGGTGAATAATTTTTTATTTTGTATATGGCTTCATGGAGTTGGATACATAGTTCTAAGGTCAAATCAAAGATCCTTGTTAATAAGCCAAGTACATAAAGAACTTGAATTCTTTGAAGTGAGTAGAATATATCCTATATTTTGTATTCAATATTGGTGGAGTAATATGTATCAACAAGTGGCCACATATGTTTTTTGATGTGAAGTATGTGATTGAATTAGATCAAGCTTTAACACCTCATTACCTTAGTTGAAGCCATTACTTATCATGGATTTGTATTATTATTGATCTTTGGACTTTATTAGATCACTTGTTGTTACTTCACATAGAACTAAATACGTATTAGTAATGGTAGAATATTTTAGCAAGTATATTGAACTTATAGCTTTATCACAAAATTCTTTAAAATTGGCAACTATGGCTTTTTTTAATTGAATATTGGCATGTTTTAGAGCACCTACTAAAATCTTAATACATCAAGGAAGAAAGTTACTTAAGATATTTAAAGCTTCATATACTAAAGCTTTGATAGATCATTGTATCACACCTAAAAATCATCTTCAAGCAGTTAGCTTAATTGAACAAGATGTTTAGTCTATTAAATGTGATTTACAAAAGTATAGATTACTTCATAACAACTATTGTGATTAGGAGTTGATGTTATTATAGATTACAATAGATTATAACTTTAGTAGACAAGTATCTTTGATATCTTATAATCTTTACAAATTATTATATAGACAAGAGTCAATTCTATTTAGCTTAATACATAAGAAACTAGCTCCAATTGTAGACTTAGATGATCTTAATGTTTGGACTCAATATCTATATGACCAAGCAAAGTTCTTTAAATAAGCCATATCAATGGTAATAGAGAACTTATTTATTGCTTAATATCTCAATATTTTATAATATGCTTGCATTTATAGTGGAGCTTATTGGCCTTAGTTGTAAAGATTCTCCAAAGGATATTATGTATATTTATAATGTAAAGTACCTACAACACTTGATATTAAAGCAAGACATACAATTCTATGTATAAAAGATGTATTGCCTAGTAGTATTTTGTTGTTGGAAGGCAAGCATGGACAAGAGTGTTAGGAGCATTTAAAAATGAATTTAGATTATAAAAGAATTGTAAATCCTTTTCCATCAAAGATTCAAATCAAGAGAGCACTTTCAAATAGAAGTGCACATATGAATCTAACTTAAGTAAATTTGTCAAGATATTAGAAAGGATGTAACCTTAGAAAGAACTTCACTTATTATAAAAATCTTCTAAACTTTGATATTGTTTTGTCAAACTTCTTTGATATACTTATCCTTGCTCCCCTCATACTTATAAAAATAAAACTTCTCACATTCAATTATGAACTTGATCTACTTGTCTCTCTCAATTGCATAACTTCTTAGTATATAATTTGATCTTCATTATTGACTTCTTCTATAGGCATAGAAATAGTATTTCTATAGTTCATATTAAAAATATATGAGATTTGATCTCAAGAGTGTTGACAAGCTTGTAAAGATTTGTAATAGTTGCAAATCTATTCTTACTTTTGTTGTGAGTAGCATCTATAATTTTTTCTTTTATAGAAAATTCAAATAAACTCATAAGTCAAATTAGAAGTGGATAATTTGTAATCTCTAATACCAAATAAAAATTCCTAGAAAGAGAGGTAGTCCATTATCTTTAAAGAAAGAAATTAGTGTTTAAAAACTAAAAATTGGTTTGAAGATAGGAAATTCACAACCTTCAAAATACAATAGTAGAAGTCGAGTAATCCATTCTCTTCTAAAAAAAATAAGAATAACAAGTTGTATCACTCAAAAAGACTATAATATCACTCAAAGATAGAATAATATTAAACTAAAATGACTAGTAGTAAAGATAAGAAGACTATAAGTCTTGAAACAAGCCTAAGAACTAAGAAGGCATTAGCAAGAGTGAAGAAGGCTTCATTCTTGCTTCTATATATACCATCTAACTAGGAGCTACATGGCAACATTCTATAGGACTTCTAACATATGTTTAATTTACAAGACACATGTTTTAACTTGAAAAACAAGTTTCTTATATGCATGCATCATTGTTAGCTTGTATCACAAGCTATCTACATATATAATACATGACTGATTTGTTGGCTAAGTTTGTAACCTACCAATCAACTATAAATATGTATAAAGTCAAATATGTGTCTATAAAGCTTCTAAGAAGCTTTGCCACAAGATAATATCAAATTTACTTACATTTATCTTCTACCTAATACTTCTTATCTAGGTAAATATATATGTCCATGATATACTATTATATACATTATTCTAATTCTCAACTAATTATTGTGGTATTTCTTCAATCCTTAAATATTCTACCTTCCTGGCTCATACTTAAGTTGCACCTTTACATTTGGTGGAGGCATTGTCAATATTATTCTTATCCTCTTATTTGTTGTTCTACAAATTTTGGCTGATCTCATGCCATTTGATTGCTCTAGTTGGTAATACACTTTAAAAAGCTTATTAAAAAAATTTACAAGAATAACTTCAAAAAAATTAATATATTAGTTAATATGATATGTGATAAATTTATTACTATCTATTGCATATAGATAAATGACCAAAAAAAAAGTTTTATATTAAATAAAGATTTTAAAATAATTATTTGAATAAAATATTAAATTTTTTGAATATTTTTAAAGAAGAAATTACAGAACCAACTTTTCTATCTAAATATTAAAAATATAAAATTTATAGTTTTAAAAATTACTAATCTTGATTTGTGATTCTAAATTCTTTTTATATAAATTCTTTGTATTCTTATTGGTGTGCTATAAGAAACAATATATGAAAATATCAAATTATTAATCTTTTTTTATTTTTGAAAGTCAACAAGTAGATGAAGATATCAATGTTGAAGTACAAGAAAAAATCTATTTTAAAATTTAATATAAAAATTTCTAAAAGAAACATGAATAATAGAATTTAAGGATATTTTTTAGGTATTAGAAAGAGAAGTTATTTTTTATTACAAAATATGTGGTATATTTAGAAAAAAAATACTTTATATTTAAGATAATTACTTTATAATCAAATCCCATAAAATTCAAAAATCAATATATTTTAATGTGGTTTTTGACTTTTCAATAGATAATCTTTAAAAATCAATTAATATTTATTAATATTTTATATTATTTAAATTATAAAATAAATTATTTTATAATTTATAGTTAACTTATAATTTAATTTTAGAAATATATTTTATAATTATTTATTTTTAAATACATAATAATTAATATATCATAAAGTTAATATTTACATAATAAGTTATCTATAATATAGAAATAAATAAGAAAAATTAAATATTTTGATATAATTTATAAATATAAAATTTAAAATATGTTAATTAAATATTTAAAAATAAAGTTATGGAATTCTTCACTTTGTCCAATGTTTTTACTACCTAAACATGATTTTTCTAATCCAAAACTTATTTTATTAGACTTCTTTTTAATTTTACTGCTTCAACTATCTTTAGATTATGAATCTTTATTTTTTTAGTTATTTCTAAATTTCAAAATTATTAATATTAAGTGTAACATCAAACATTATTTTTTATAGGATTATATTAGTAAAAAAATCCCTATATATATATTTAATTTATAATCAAATTAGTTTTATAATTAATGAATTCTTAATCATTTAAAAAATTAAATATAATATTTTATTATTACTAATTAATATATATATATATATATATATTGGATTGATGAATTCTTAATCCTAACGGAATCGGGGTGAAGTGTAGGTTGAGGGGGGAGGATCCAGCAGAAGCTGGTTTCCAAGTTTAGGGTCCATGGAATCCAGGTGCGATTCTTCATCGCATTGCTGCTTGATTCCGCATGTGATCATTCATGGTGCCAGAACATTGTTCGTTACGTCTTGGCTGCGGGACGTCGAGGGAGGTATTTGCCTCGGGATTACATCCTACTTTCTGATTCTTCCCGAGCACGAGTATTGATTGTTACATTTGTATGTGACGTAATTGGTCGGGGATCAATGTGAGTATCCTTCCGGAGATTGTTTCCAGTTAATTTTCATGCTCCACAGTTTGGAGGATTTCATGTTGCGCCCTAAAGTTAGATAGAACCTCTGTACCGGTGGGGTACCGTAGAATTTGTTCTTATCTGTGTTGTTGCTCAAATTCCCGCTGCTAATGTGTCCTATCATGGCGGCATGCAGATGGTTAGTGTAGTTGCTGACCTTGAGGGTGATCGTGTTGCCCGTGCATCAGATTTCATTTGGTTCCTGAGGGAAGGGCTTCCGTTATTCGTCCATGGATAGCTTGACCGTCATTGTGGATGGAGTTGTTTCTTCATTTCATTTCCTTCAGTGAAAAGTGAGGTTTCGGTTGTGTGTGGAAGCCAACTCGATCCAGCCTCGGTGGTTCGCAATTAACGACAGCATGGAACTCTCTCTTTAAGATCGATTCTTTGATGTATGTGTTTGCAAGCGTCATCGAGCCTGAGTCATCTGTTCCTGACCGAGATATCGTTCATTGCTCCCGTTGTGCATTGCAATACTCTTAATCTCATGGTCTGCAGTTTGTGGTATGGAGGAGCAGCTTTTCACCTTAGTATCGGTCACATCATGTGTAAAATTATAATTGAGCAGATTTTTTACCCCTCGACTAGGTTCCTCCGCCGCAATTGGACGAGCTGTGTTTGGATTGAACTTTTGAGTCTTCCCGGCGTCATTAAGTTCTTATAATTCATTTTAATGTTTACTCGCAATCTGCTTGCCAACTATACTTTGCAAGTGACGAAACGTTTGCGGTTTCGTGGTGTGTCACATGACCTTGTAGTTGCACCGTCAATCCTTTGAAGTAAATAGAGTACAATGGCAGATGTGTAAAAATAGGAGGTTATAAGTAAATCTTACGGTCGAAACTTTGCAAACCTGTTGTGAGGCCAGGATAATGGTGGAATTCAGAAGAAAAGTTCGGACGAGAAGAAAACCAAGAAGGACAGAGTTCTTGTATGCTGATTAACCTTGACAGCCGAGGACTTTGTTGGGTTAAGTGTGTGGATTGAAGGCGGGCCTCCTCATACTAGTTATGCATGTTTCGTTGCTTTGTCCAGCGTAATGCATGTGGCCAGGTACTAATGGTGCGTCGTCATGGCTGGCAGTTTCCAGCTCACACATTCCAGGTAAGTTCTCGCTAGTCTTTTCCTTTACAGCTGAAAAATGACTTGCGTACATATCTTTGAACAAGCAGCTGAAGTTGATGGTGGCTTTCATAAATCAGATTCGCGATTTGCAATCGCAAATTTCACGTAGCAAAGTTCACACTATTTCATGTACGTTGATACTCAGGTGGTGGCCATCACACTCTATTTTTTGCTGGCAACCGCCTTCTATGTTTTTATGGCCCCCTTCTTGTGGATCGGCGGATTGGAATCCGCAGCTTTTGCACTGTACTCCCCCTTGGTGAGTAGCATTCCTCTGCACTTCGGGCGCTTTTTTAAGATCCGTGGCAATTGAATATTTAGCTTCTGTACTTATCGATTTTTTAAATTACAACAAAACATTTTGGTTTCGAAGCCGTTAATGTTGAGTTCCTGCACCTTGCAGTTCATTATGGTCTTGCTGCTCTACACACGGTGTTCAGCCATTAACCCGGCAGACCCAGGTGTATTGAAGAATAGGCCCTTGCTCACAAATGATCGAGATTGCTCCTTCTCACAGATTTCAGGAGGCGTGACATTAGCCACGTCAAGCCCTCACTATGCCATGCAATCAGAACGTGACCAAAAATATTCCCGTGCTGAGCAAGGTCGATTTGGTTGGAACAAGGCTCCTGGTTTGTGTTCTGTTTCGGGATTTTGTATGTCGTCGTGTGGTTGGTTGTTGAAGGATGACTTCTGCTATAATGACGCAAAGTACGACCAGCCTGTACCTGAGCAAGATATTCTGTTCTGCACGCTCTGCAATGCTGAGGTAATTGGTAGCCCTTGAGGACTTTACAACTTAAAGAATTTATGTTGTTGCAAATCAAGGTACAATGAGGATCACATAAAGTCAACTTCATCAAGTTCAAACCTGTTGTATTGGTCAATGCTTGTGAGGGGATCTCTCTAGCAGCAAAATTTCTTTTGTACTAAAATTGTGATAGTAAAAACTGTGTTTGTTCTCGATTTGTAGGTTCGGAAGTACAGTAAACATTGCAGAAGCTGCGACAAATGTGTTGATGGCTTTGACCACCATTGTCGGGTATCACTTATCACCTATTTATCTGTTCTCAACCTGTCCAGTTTCTTTTTTCCTTTTTCTTTTTTTCCCTGAAATTAGCAATATTTGCCTTGTAAGTTTGGTGTTTGGAAGAATTGCAGCTTATGATTCATGCATTTTCGAAAACTTTTTAAGTCACTAGTCCTGAAGTGAACTTCATTCAGTACTTAAGCCAACAGGATGCTATTAGAATTTCATTTAATCTTTGTGCCATGCAATGAAAGAACCTTGAGGTGGCCACAGCACTTCAGAAATGTTCTTTCGAATTCACTTTCACTGTTGACGTCGCATTTCTTAGTGGTTTTCACGTTCTTATAAACTTGCTGATGGGACTGAAAAATTCCACCGTGATCTTCATGTGTGTGTGTGTGTGTGTATTTGATAGTGGCTTAACAACTGTGTTGGGAGGAAGAATTACTCAACATTTATTGCCCTTATGGCCACGAGTCTTGTCTTGGTGAGCAGGTTCTTCAACACTTACTTTATCGTGCATGGATGATTATCTGGAAAAACAAGATTTTAGGTGAAAAGTTTGATTTTCACAACCATTGAAGGATGAGAATTTCTTAGCTCTACTATTCCATGTTCCGGATCCGCACGAAAGGGTGGAATTAATATTGGAAGTGCTAATTACATTCATGTAAGATCAAAATGAGCTGTGTTTTATTTAGAGAAGTAGACTTGGGACTAAACTTACATGTTGATTATGCAGCTTGTGGTCGAGTGGGGAATAGGGGCAGCAGTTTTTATACGTTGTTTAGTGGACAGGAAGGGAACTCTGGACCAGATATACAGCAAGCTTGGAAATGGCTTTTCCATGTTTCCTTTTGCCTCTGTGGTGGTAATGGAATTGCTTTTGTTGTTTCAACGGAAGACATGTGTGGTGGATTATGCATGAGATCCTGGCATTTCAGGAACATGAATAAAGATGTGACTTCGTGTGTTTCTCTCTGTTTTTTACTAGTCCTGTGCATTTCATGATACGCAAGTAGGTCTTTGACCTGTGGGTAATGCTACTAATGGAGGGTTGATTGTTTTTGCAGCTGGCTTGCACATTGGTGGCTTTTCTTGCCTCGGTTCCTTTGGGAGAACTCTTCTTTTTTCACCTAATATTGATGAAAAAGGTTTTTGTAATGCCTTTGATAACTTCTTCGTTTACTTGCCAGAATGATTTCGGATGTCCACTTGGCATCTCAGTCATTCATAATAGAGTTCATAATTATTTCAATGCTTGCAGGGGATTTCCACATATGAATATGTGATGGCTATGCGAGCGCAGGCTGATCAGACACCTGCTCCTGTTGAAGAAGAGAGTGAGTTATCATCACCTGGCGCTTCAACAACTGTTATAGGTGGATTTAGTTCATGCCGAATTCAGATGCAGGGTGGTACTGATAGCTGGTGTACACTGCCTCGAACATTCATTGAGCACCAGGTACAAGTCATCGTCCAGCGGGTGGAACGATTTACAGGTGAAGTTTTCAAAATGTGTTATCGAATAGTCACATTGAATAGCTTTCTCTAGTTGAAGCCACAAAAAAAATTTATAGCCCATGTGTAGCTTGCATTTCAATGTGTCAAGAGTTAATAAACTACTGTTAATTGAAGTTCAGTTAATACTTGAGGCTGAGGGATCAGAAATGCTTCATGTGTGTGGAAGTTGAACGAAAGGCATTCTGTGTTACCACGCAATTTACACTTTCACATTGCAGCTCATTGGTTTCTCTTCGTGTATGCCGCTAATTTTCTCTTAGGGATGTTTCATCAGGAAATTAGTGTTTCATGTCCTTGTAAAGCATACGGAAGAAAGCACAAGATTGGCACTATCGTCGAGGAGAAAACTGCAGAAGAAAGTTTTGAAATAGAAAAGATCAAAAACGATGATGTTGAAGAGAAAAAAGTTGAACAGAATGGCGATCAAATTTCAAGGGTACACATGTCGGCAAAGGATTAGTTCAAATTCAACTTATCTTATATTCTACAACTTTGGACCTAAGTTATCTGTTAATTTTTTTTCATGTAGTTAGTCCAATATTACAAGACTAAGTACTTGCATGTTGAAACATCAGGTTACGTAGAGTCCCTTTTGATTCGCAGGATGATAATCTCGTTACGGCAACAGGCAGGGTGCTTTCAAGCATTGATCAAGACGGTACTGGACGACCTGGAAAGACTGCTTCAGGAAACGTTCGAATAAGTGCATGGAGACTGGCAAAGCTAAATGCAGAAGACGCTTCTCGAGCAGCAGCAAATGCCCTGGATAAATCATCTGTGCTACAGAAACTTGGTGATCGTGACCTTGGAAATGAACCAGCGACTGATGATGATTCCAGAAGTAACATGATCAACTGGAGTAGTTTCAGTTCAGATAATGCAGTGCATAATTCGGCAATAATAGCCCCGCAAAAACTTCTCACTCCACGTGGACTTCCTTCTTTGAACCCCGAGCTATCCCATCTGCATGTTGCCGAATATCCTGTATTATTTGGTCGTCCTGTGGAGCTAACAAATGCCTGCTCTCATATTCAAAGAAGTATCAGTGAGCATAATACTTTATCGACAATACCGGACTCTAAGTCAATGAGCTCCTTTCCAGAGGACTTGGGGTACAGACTATCAGAGAAGCAATTGCCCGGTGTGACTGAAGTAGGACTCCATGCAACACTAGAAGGGGCGAAGTGCTCTGAATCTGCTGTATCCTCTGTATTAATACATTCTCCAAGACCGAGGTTGGGTTGGCCGACATCCCAAGAAATTGCTGCTCCAGGTGCAGATGCTGCAGGGAGACACTATTTCCAATCTTTGGAAGTAGCCGTTATCAGCAGTGATGAGCACGATACATCGAATTCTGTCACAGGAGACAATTTAGTTAGGTCACCAAAAGAAAGAAATATCTCCTTAAAATATCACCATAGAAATTCAGTGTTTTGGAGTCGACCCGGAGTTGGAAAGTTTGGAGGTGATCCCAAGCTTAACAAGCCTCAAAGTCGGATTGAGTTTGGGGGCAGTGGCATAAGCACTTCAACATATCCGTTACAAATATTGCGAACGTGGCCTGAAAGTCGGCTGGCCCATCCAGATTCAGAGTCTGAGTCGGGGACAAGAAGTGGCTCTGCATCCATCAATCCAATTCCCGCGGCAGTGAATCTACCACTCATTCAACCAAGACAGACAAATGCCTCAGAAAGTTATTCAGTTCTTTTCGGACCTCACAGTGTTCCTAATGGAGATGGAGATAACAAAAATTGCGAAGTTCTTCAGCCCCCACCTCCGAGGCTTGACATTCAGCGAGTGGCCGATTTGCAAATTCAAGGACCTACAGAGAACAGGACCTCCGTGTGATAAGCCAGTACCCTTTGTTCTGTCATTTCCAGGTCTCAGTCGCCAATCTTTGCACCTCGAAGTAGGTAATGTCAGCATCCCGAGGTTGGAGAAGAAATTTTTAATGCTTAGATCTCTATGTCTGCTAGTTCTAGTGATGCAACATGGCGTATTTGGAACCAAGGCATATTTCTTCTATGAAACTGTCCGTGGGAAGAACCATCTCCAAAAAGGGTCGACGACTTATTGTTTTACTTAATATGCATTTCGCTTATATTGAATGGCGTGTGGATACAAGCTATGAACCAGATATTCATGCTGGCCCAACAGTTGTGACGGTCGAAACAATATTTGGGACTCACCCTGCTTCTTTGCAGCCGATTTGTAGCCATTCTAAGAGTAGGTTGCGACTCGGAGTTCAGCCAAGCGTTGAATCTTCAATGAGGTACAGGCACTGTTCTCTGTGTCTGAGGGTGCAATTCGATTTTTGTAAAGCACAGACTCAACCGAACAAAGAGTTGCGGGTTCACAAGTGCACCTCACCAGTCTTGAGCACTTAACAGACTTTTGCCTTGTCATTGTACAATTTTCGTCACGTTTTTAAAGCTCTGTTTAGAGTATTCATGTCTGATTCAGAATAAAGTTCGCCCTCAATTACAGGGTAGTCCTTTCCAACAGGTGCAAACAGTTGTCCTCGACCTATTATTTTCGGGTGTGTTCCCATTTCCTTGCATGTCGTACTTTTCTCTGATGTAAACACTCCTTCTAGATTGCCTTCGACGTTTCTGAAGCCAAAATTGCTCTCCAACAGGAGGTTATATCTGCACTTTGGTTGCACATTATTACTGATGGCATGGGTGACTTTGCGACTATCACTCCTCTACAATTGCCTAAGCATGTTCTGTAAACGGCTTGCTTAATTGTGCCAACTATTTACCGTGTGCTAGCTCAAATCATGACTTTCAGCCTAACTTCCCATCGCAACGGTAAATTGGCACAATTTCTACTCATTTGTGCCGCTAAATTCGCATCGAGGGGGAGATCTGCGAGGTTGTCATTCCATGGAGGTCTAAACCTTCCAAATCATCGAAGTTCTGCTTAGTGCAACTTTTCGGTTCTGCGCATCCAGTTTCCTTTGCCAACTTGTAATCACCGAGCAATGATTGTGTACTAGTAGAAGAAATGAAAGAACAGCCCAGTGCACAGAAACCAAGACAGGAATGCTTCTGAAGGATTTGTAGAACGATAGATTCCCATGAGTGCTTGAGAATCTCTCCGTGCCTCTTATTGTTGAAGTACAAAACTTTTTTCCATGCATGCACTGATGTCTAGTTGTTGCATGAATGATGCTTCCAGTTAGACAATTGGTTTGTCAAGGCTGGGCTGGTGTCATTCTGGGGCATCCACATCTGGCTCACAGTCCCCACATTCTTTTCCTCTAAAGCATTGTTTTAACAATATGGGTGTCAGAGAAGTAAGATGCATGCCAGAAAATTGTTGTGGGAAAAAAGATATGAACCAAAGATAATACTATGAATAAAGACGGTGTTGTTGCCCCTCTGAGTATGATACTATAATTTTCAATTAATTAGAGATGGTTCACTTCCATGACAAAATACACTCATGTTGTTCACCTTTGTCTTTGAATTGTCTCCTGCTCAAATTAGGAGAAAACAATTTTAGAGGGCAGTGTAGGTAGAGCCCATGACTTTTAGGCTCACATTTTATACCTCAAATTATTATTTTCCAAAAATTACGTCCATCTTCTTCCTATTCTATTAATAAGTTGTATTTTGTGGTAAAATTTATGTTGGTGCTGTCTTATTGGTTCTCCATTTTCTAAGTGTACTTTTCCTATCTACTCTTGTAAAAAGATGTTCCTAAAATATTTCAACCCTTAAAATTATTTGATTGAGAGTTATGTTTTGGAAATGCTCTTGTACAACTATTAACAGTTTAATACAAAATTCAATAGGTATAGACACTATTATCTAACCAACGTGTGTCTATTTTTTTACTTATTTTTATTTAAAATATTTTTATATTTTTTATATAAATTATATTTTAATTAATTTTTATTTTTTAAGTCTTCAAATAAAAAATAGAATAATTTATATAATGCATTAAAAATCAAAAAAATATTATGGTTATTATTTTGTTTAATATTAAGAAAAAAATTGAAATTATAGAAAAATTAAATATAAATGAAAAAATGTCACCAAGCTAACTAATAATATTATAAAGTTTAAGTTATCATATATTTAATATAATATTACAAAAAGATATCAATTTCCTATAAAATGTGCTTGCACCATGAAAATATAGAATTAGAAACACACAACATTAATTACATCTTAAAATTAAAAATAAAAAATATTATAATATTATAATTCAATTTATATATATATATATATATATATATATGTATGTGTGTGTGTCTTATAATCATTTAAAAAATAATAATATTATAAAATTTTACTTATTGTTTATAGCAAGTGAGATATAAACACGTTCATTTAAAAACAAATCAAGAATTTTTAAGATTTATTAAAATATGTATATATATATATATATATATATATATATATATATATATACAATTCACATTCAAAAAGAAATATGAAAATCTAACAAAATGTATTATTGAAGTAACAATAAAACTATTGATATTCTAAAAATAAAAATTTAAATGAGTAAATAAATAATTTGTATAATTTTTCATGTTTTAAATTATTTATTATATATTTTTAAATAGTAATTTTTAAAAAAACTTAAATAATTTAGAAACTATTTATATTTTAATACAAAAATTTATGATTTTTAATTCTAATATATCGTACATAAAATTATATTCAATATTAATATTATGATAATATATTATACTATACAAAAAAATAACTAAAAATACCAATTATATTTATTTTTCTTACATGCATGAAGGTACATAGTTATATTTATGAAATCAAATTACATTCAAATCTTTTGGCTGGAAAATCTCAACACACAAATGGAGTTATTTATTTATATTGATGCCATATCTTCCATTGTGCATTTAGACTATAGGGTGTTGAAGTGGTGGTCTAATTTACTACTATTATGAACAAGTATTGCATTGATATAGTGATAAAAGAGTTTAACTAATAAATAGATGGAGTATTCTATTTAAAATTTCATAATTAAGATCATAGCCTACTTTAATATAAAAAAAATAATACATTTTTACCACAATTAAGATAAAATTACAACTTTAGACACTAAGCTAAATAATTATTATTACCATTATCAATATCCACACCAAATCTAATAAACTTTGTACTATAGTAATCTAAATAATGTCAACACATATAAGAGTGGATTTTGTATTAACACATCCAACATGTGTATAAACAAGCCTTGTTATAAAGTTACAAAAGTTTAAAGAAAGTTTAAGCAGATTAGCTAAAATTGTAGTTATACATTGATTGACACATAGCCTTCATTGCAAGGTTATTGTAAATCAAAAGGGTATGTGTTGTACTTGGTAAGGACCTTTATCATTAGAAAGTTAAGAGTAGTTTGTAGCAAAAATTACCTTATAAAATTAAGAATTGATACCTAACGAGGATTGGTTGTAAAATATAATCAAAATCAAACCCCAAGGCACAAAACCACACATCTACAATAATTTCAAGATATTGTTTGTTGATCAAAGAGCAAAGTTAAGAAGAAGACTTCAAGGGGGTTTTTTTAGTATTTCTTTTATGTGATTTAGATTATTTTTAAGTTTTTGAGAGTTTTTAAAATTTAGAGATATTTTCAATGATTTTGAATTTTAAGAAATAAAAGAAAGTTCATATATTTGAGAAATTTGTGAATATTATAGAAAATATATGGATTAAATTTTATGAATTTGTAAAAATATTTGTCTTAAATGTATTGTGGAAATTTAAGATAAATCAAACTATTAGTTTAAAAGGTATTGGAATTTGATTAGGTTAGGATCAATAAGAGTTTTTGTGATTTTAAGCAATGAATCAGTTTAGTTGAAGAAAAACTTTGTGAAAGCGTAGCAAGCTTAATTTTCAATTGTTTTTTCAATTTGGAGAGCAATCAAACAATTCAACAAAGATTAATTACTAGTAGTAGATCAACTTTAAGATTGGAGAAGAAAAACATCCAACATCCAAGAAAATTAAGAATTCTTTTTTTCAATTGCTAAGTTTAATTTTTCTTAAACTTTGCATGCTTATTGTTTACTTGAAGATTAAAATATTTGAAAGATTTTAGTCAAGATGAACAATTTCATCAATAATTATTGAGGTTTCAAGACTACTATATGAATTTGATTAGGATTTTTTTTGGATTTTTTTTAGAATTTAATTGGGATTTGATTAGAATTTGCTTAGATTTTATTAAGAATTTAATTAGAATTTAATTTATATTTTATTAAAAATTGATTAGAATTTAATTAGGATTTAATTAAGATTTTATTTTTTAATATTTATTGATGATATTTAAGATTTTTTATGATTCTTTTCAAATTTCTTTAAATTTTATTTATAATGAATTAATAATTTATTAATATTTTTAAGATTTAATTGGAATTTATTTAGGATTCTATTAATTTTTTTAGGATCTTTGTTTGTTGCAATTTCTAGTTTACATTCCAAAGTCAAGTGCCCAATGTATTTTCAAGCCAAACATATTATATAGTAGTACATCTTAGATCAATTATTTGAGCAAGGTTCTTAGAAATAATATAAAAACTTTTTATACAAGGCTCTCATTAGAATCATTGAGCCATGCCTTTATTAAATTTAATACAATCCTATTTTTTTACACATTCAAATCATAAGAGTTGGAAGATAGATTTTTGTGCTTTTATCATTGTTTATAATATTACTTTATTAAACCAAACTTGGTGCTAATAAAACTACAAGTTAGACATTTAGAAAAGACAACAAAACTAAAAGCCATACAAACTCTCACCTATTTTTACCACACATAATATTTTATTATTATTATTATTATTGTTATTATTTAATGACATTAATTGACACATTCTAAAGAAAATGACTACAATGCCTCTATTAAGATTGAGATGCAATTTTAGTTTGATAATTTGGTTGATAAGTTTTGGCACAAGCTCTCTATCACTATTTTATTATCACATTTGTACAAAACTACGTCAAGTTGCACACACTTAAATAAATTATTTCAATTGAAGTCCTTGCAGATTTTATTGAAGAAAATGATAACTACCATTCAATAGTATTTAAGATGGTTATGAAAATTGTAGTATTTTTGTGCAAATATAAGTTAAAGATTATAGAGACAAGATTGTAATGTCCTATTATGCTTATTTTTATTTGGTGACATATTATTTTAACAATAAATTTATTATTTAAAAATTTATATTGGTTGATGTTACCATTAGTATCAACCTCATACATTTTTATAATGAATATGGCTATGGCAAGGTCATTGATGTCTTTTGCTCCTTACAATGGTTGAATCATTCCAAAGTCACATTCATATATATTACAAAAGATTATTGTTTACAAAAAAAATTAATGAATCTTCTCAATAATTGCTTTGGCTAAAATAAATCAAAGAAGTTTTTACTAGTCTTTGTCTTTTATCTATCATTTTTTCAAAGAAGAAGGTTGTCATGTGCTTCTTAGTTCTCAATCATTCATATAACATTGTTGATTGTGTGGTGTCTAGGCACTATATGCAAGATGAACATCTTTACTTCAATGGATCTCATTAAACAAATCAATACTTTTGATCCTCTCAATGCAAATTTTCTTAGTCATTGGATATTGAACCAAACTCTTATTGTAGATTGGGAGTCCCTATTCACAAAGTAGTTTTAATCTCCTTCACCATGATTTACAAAAAATTATTTCTTTGAGAATAATGAAGAGATTTGCATTGTATAACACCTTGCCAACACTCTTAATACTAATTCAGTTTAATTTCTATTGATTTAACCTAGGAATATTACAATAATTTACAAAATATTTTTTTTAAGACTTATTTGGGCTATGCATCACTTCAATCAACTAAGACAACATTGACATTATATGCTCAAACCGACAATGTCAAAAAAAAATCAAGTTGTTGTTTGAGAAATATTTTTGATGCCTATTGAAGCTATGTTGTATTACTATGCAACACAACTTGAATACAATTTGAATGATTATGAAAAATTGATTGCCAAAGCTCATATTATGCAAGCATACCTTACAAATTTTCAAATCAATTGCCAAATTGGTGTCAATGTCATGCCATCAAGTCTTAAGTAGGGTAGTTTCAAAAAAATCTATGTTGATTTTGACCAAAAAAACCAATTCTTTCTTTCTTTGGCCATAAGTAAGCATTAAATTGATACAAGCATTTTGCGTCTTCTTATACCTCAATTTGACCAAAATGTTTTGTGCAAATAAATATTTTGAGAAAACCAGATTATTTTGGTAATCTAGTTTACCTCTAAAAGATTCATTTGTAGAATTTTTTCAAATTTAATTATTTTTTTACAGAATAATGACTCAAGACACAAACTAAAACAAATCAAAGTCCAATTTTTATGCAAATTTTACTATCACAAATAAGAATTCAACATCAACAGTCAAAAATATTGCATTCAATAATTGTAAAATCATGGAAATCAATTGAAAATTTAGTAGTTGTTGTTACTGCCAATCATTGGAATGAGCATTAAAAACTCGAAATTCTGACATGTAAGCCCGTTTGGCTCAAATTCACACAAGGTAGTTGCAGAAGGGAGAAGGACCAAATCCCACAAGCCATTAAATGCAATGTGGGTTAAAATTAACATGAATGAGAAGGTTTATTAATGAGGGACCAGATGCTTTAGAAATTAGTCTAGAATCTGTCGGGAGCACGGGCGGGACCGGGCTGGGCGGGGTCACGAGGGGTGACGCGGAGCGGGTCACCGGTCTGAGCAGCTCCGGTGCGTGAGAGGCAGTAGAATTTCTTGAATCGCGGGAGCTGGATGAGCCTTCAATCCTGCACGAGGATCCACGATTTTCCCTGCGCAGCACCGAATCGTTTCACTCTGTTGTGGTTCATGATTTTCTGCAACTTGCGCGTGTTGTTTGCATTGATTGTGCTGGTAAATTGCGTCGCGTGGACGTCGAAGCTGTTTTGCGGAGCAGATCTGGTATAGGTTGCGACAGGGGATGTAGCTGGGAGACAGGAACTTATTTGCGTTTGCACACAGATACGAGGACGCGTTAGCGAGAACAGACTGTTGGACCTGCGGGAATCGTTTGTTTTTTTGTATGGCATAGGCTGGATTTTCTAGGTTTGAGTGTGTCGACGGGATTGAGAATCTGGGCACGTTGTGTTTTTATATTGCACTTGCAGCTCTCCCCTGCGAGCAGTTACTGTTGAGGTCGTGGCATGCGTTTCGATTAGAGCATAAAACATTGCTGCGTTTTTCTTGGCTACATATGCTCGCTGTCAGGCTTTTAGACGTATTTTCAGTGTTGGAAGAACAGTGACAGGAGATTTCAATTTTTTTAAAGAGAGTAAAAATTCTAGTGATTTTGAGCGAGTTTTTGATTTTCAGATGGGAGATTGAGGTTGGAACGCTTGGTGAGGCGGACGGAGTGAGAGGGGGGGAGTTCAGTAAGGGGGATGGGGACCCCTAAAGTGGGATGGTGCAAGTACAGGATCTTCATTGCAATCCTGATTGCAGCATCCATTACAGCTGGGGGATTATTAGGTTTCCACAAACCTAATCTCAAAGGATGTATTATGACTTACATGTACCCTATGTACATTCCTGTTCCTCTTCCTTCCAACGCCACGGCCGGCAAATATTCCTTGTATCTTTATCACGAAGGCTGGAAAAGAATTGATTATCAGCTTCATCTTGTCAAGTTGTCAGGTGTTCCGGTTCTTTTTATCCCTGGCAATGGTGGCTCTTACAAGCAAGTGAGTCTTCTTTTTGTATTGTATTTTTAATTTTCAAAAATAAATGAATAAATAAATAATATAGATTATGTTTCTAGTATCAATTTCTTTGTTTTCTTCAATCAGGGTTTGTGGAATTTTCTGTCGTGGACATCCTTACCCTGTGTGTCAAACCTTCATTTTCTTCAAGCGAAGGGTTTTTGTAATCCTAGTAAGTGTTGTGAATCATTAAGTTATTGAGGCATTGCTTATTTCTTCGTTTTATGTGTTTATTCTCACATGATCCACAATGCCTGACTTCCTGTTGGACTCAAAAAGTCTGCAGAGCTGGCAGGTGCAGAAGTGGGTGTGTATATAGTCCGTTCGAAGAAATTAAGCTACATGAAACTCTTCTTCTTCTTCCATCTGTTCGTTTGATCCACCGACTCTCCCAGGTTGTTTGTCTATGCAGGTCCCAACGGCTGATTGGGAAGTTATTGCTTATAAAGTAAGAACTAAAATTACTCTTTGTATCAGGTGCGATCTATAGCAGCAGAATCAGATAGAGCATATGTTGGTGGTCCTCAGGACGCTGAATATTATCAACAGTCGGGCTTCACGCCTCTTGAAGCTGGTCCAATGCAAGATGAATTGCAGTTTTCTGAGCTATTGGCTAAAGTCAGAGCAGAAGGGCAGTATGCGAACCATCTTGATTGGTTCGCTGTTGATTTGGAGGGAGAACATTCAGCGATGGACGGGTGGATTCTTGAAGAGCACTCCGAGTATGTTGTGCAAGCTGTACACCGGGTGTGACTCTCATCACTTTCTAACATAAAAGATGCCTGTAGTGGAATTTGTGGGTCACTGTTTATTAGATTAGGATTATTAGATGACTGTTTTAAACTCGGTTTTGGGTATTAGTTTCCATGGTTGGGCACAATCGAAATCTGTTCATTCCTGCATTTTTACTCCGTAATTGATGTCTTATAATCAGCAACGCGTTTTGTTAGACTAGCCAGATGCTATGTTCCTGTTTACTAAAATAAGGTCAGATTTGAACAGATTTTTGGCCCTAATCGTAGTGTATTTGGCCAATGTAGCCTCACTGTGCTGGCTAGAGCTGTTGTTAAACTATTGTTCCCGTTAGTGGCTTGTATTGTTCTACTTTAACACAATACAAGCAATTAATCGCAATCGAACTGTACAGAGTGCATTTCATAGTCGTTATTAACTCGTAAAGTCTCGAGACTTATACACTGGTAATTTCTTTCTTTGCAAACAGATTTTAAATAGGTATAAAGAGTCATTGGATACGAGGTCTAAGCACAATGGTGACAAGGGTGAGATTTTGCCTACAAATGTCATCTTGGTTGGGCACTCTATGGGTGGCTTTGTGGCAAGAGCTGCAGTCGTGCATCCAGAGCTTAGACCTGGAAGCGTTCGAACCGTTGTTACTCTTTCCAGCCCGCACAGGTATTTTGCCATGGTCGGGAGGGTTGTATGCATCTTGTCATGGTTATCCACGAGGTTCACTATCATCTATCATTTTATGTAAATGAATAGTCGGTTCTTTGTGGTGTCCTCACATTCGTTTGGGGGAAAAGGAATTGGTATGAATTTGAGAACATCGTGAGAACATGAGCTTAAAAATACAGGTTAAATCATCATTTTGTTTTTTTGTTTTTTGTGTTTTATGTTTTGTTTGTTTTGTTTGTTTTTTGTTTTTGTTTTCTTTTCTTTTCTTTTCTTCTAGTTGACTGTTATTTCTTGGCAGATCGCCTCCTCTGGAAGTTCAGCCCTCCTTTGGACGTTTTTTTTCAAAAGTTAATGATGCATGGATACAAGGTTTCAAGAGTGTTCAGACAAGTGGGGGACACTGGTCGAAGCCCCCATTATCTGATGTAGTAGTTGTGTCTATAGCTGGAGGTGCTCGGGATTATCAGGTTTGTACAAGACTTGGTCTCGAAAATATGTCTGCACAGTTGTTGCTATGCTTAGGACAATATTTTCTTAATGATGTTAAGTATATTATGCTGCAATTCTACTTTTTGTACTTTTTTCTTTTTTCTTTTTTTTCTTTAACTTTTCCCGCCCTCTCAGCATGTATTTTGAAATTAAATAGATTTTCTGATGGTGATATGTTCCTGTCAAATAGGTACGGTCTAGGATGGCTTCACTGGATGGGATTGTACCTCCAACCAATGGCCTCACTATTGGTGCAGCAGGCATGGTGAATGTATTCCTCTCTACGGATCACCAAAGCATTTTATGGTGTAACCAGTTGGTTATGCAGGTAAGCGATGCGTCTAATCACCGGCAGAGCATTGTTTCAGAAACCTGGTTGGCTTAGTATCTTTCATTAATATTAGGGAGGTATAATTTTTAGAATATGAAATTGGATGAGCTGTTCAGCTGTGTTTTTTTGAACCATATGTATGCAAACCTGATGCAAAAGGCTTTGGTACATAGGTCTCGCATACACTGCTACAACTTATAGATGAGAAGACAGGGCAGCAAATGACAAGTCCACATGCAAGAATGGCCGTGTTTGTTTCCAACCTGCGTAGTGCATTGCCACATACTTTTGATTGGTTACCCAGCATCACTTCAAGGATTCCAGTGTCTTTAGTGAAGTCAGCTAGTATTGAGGAAGGTATGTTCATTTTGGTTCCACTTTTGCGAGGTCGGTGTATTTTTCCTCTTGCATTTAAAAGCGGAGTTTCTACTGAAGGTGAAACTACTATCTTATGCCACTGCATTTCACAGGCTAAAGTAATGGTCAAATAATGAGAATGTTGAGAATCAGGCATTTCTATGAAGTTCTTGGTTGCACATTTATTCGTATTGAAGTTGCAGCGAATCAAGCTCTTGGAAAAAAAATATGGAGGATGATGTTGATGGTTCGGAATCAGGTAGCGGAAAGTTGGATAAGGAACATGACGTCCCAAAGCAGGGTCCGTTCGCTTGCCCCTCCAGAGTTCCCTGGGAAAAGGAGGTTCCACAAAATGACTTTTATTCCAAGTCCAACATCATGACCGTGCTGGGAATGGATGGAAGACGAAGAGTAATGGACATCAAGAAACTTGTAAGAGCTTAATCCTCATGTGATGTCGCTTGTTTGAACGTGTGCTCAAGGGTAGGTGAGAAGTTTCTTATAATTCTTCAGTCTTTAACAAAGTCTAGGTGATCGAAAATGATGTTGTATGTAAAATTCCATGAGCAATTGTTACAAGGTGAAGAGCGTGGAGATTTGGAGCATCTAGTGCTGCCTTTCACTTACGTGGCTAATGAACGTCAGACATTTGTTTCAATTTTTATGGGTTTGAGTCAGGCTAAGGATGGCGATTGGTTTGTTTTAGCAACAAACTTGGCACCATGCACTGGAGTGCGCGTGCATTTATGGCCCGCTAGTGCCAAGCCTGGTGGCTTATCTGATTTTGAGGAAGCAGTAGAGGTGACTACGAAGATGGCTGAAATTCCAGCAGGCCCCATCCAACACCAGGTATCACTTTCTTTCTTTGTTAAAAGTTGGATGGAATCCAAGCAAGGTAGTAATGTGCTAGTATTGTGATTGTATGGCAAGTGAAGCATTTCTGGTTATGATGTTCGCGGTTATTGTAGTGCTTAAATGCAACAAGGGTTATGGATTATTTGCATCGCTGCGCGGGTATACCCGATAGTCTGGTACTTTGACGAGCATCATAAATACTACACCTTCACATGTGTTTTTGTTTGTTTGGTCTACGTGACAAACACATTCAGACGATTTCAAAATTTAAAGTCTTGTGGAGTGTGTCTTGGCAACTGAGAGAAAGTCTAAATTAGGATTGTTTTCGTCACTATTGTGTGATACATCTACACAAGCTTCCAGAGAATCATTAACTTTTAATTACATTGTTAGTTAAGACTTCTTATTTTACCTTGTTTAATGTAGACTGAGCCGGGAGGACAGACAGAGCAAGCCGCTCCCAGAGGAATCCTTCGTCTTAGCCCCGACGATTTACGCGGGTTCAAGTTTTTATCAGTCTCGGTAGCTCCACGTCCGGTAAGACCAAGTGCATATTGATTTGTTCTTCCTTTCCTTTGCAGCCATAGAGTATGGGGATGTGCAAGGTTATTGAATATGCATTTTCCACTGCATCTATTGAAGCAGGTTGTTTAGACCATTTTAAGAACATATGTTTTCTCCAGTTTTGGTTCATCAAACGCAGATGCGGTTTCTTTTTATTGAAGGTAGTTGCGTTATCCGGGATGGTGCTTCTTGTTTTGCTGCTTTCACTTATTGGATTGTTAGAAACCCGAGAGTAGTGGCAACGTATTGTTTTGCATGAAAGGGACGAGCGGAATCATGGATTGAGCATTATTTTGACTTTGCTTTATTTGCAGAGCGTTTCCGGAAGACCACCACCTGCTGCATCTATGGCTGTAGGGCATTTCTTCAATCCTAAGGAGGGGAGGATGCATTTGTCACCAGTGTCCCTCCTATCCACGATTTTTAGGACGCAGGTATTCAGATGATCTCACTTTGTCTCTCTAAATGTTGCGGCTGGTATGGGCAATCTGTAGAATTCGTTTACCTTCGGTTTTTAATGAATCTCTGAACTGCCCATCTTTGTTTCACATCTGGAGGTTGTACTTCAAAGAACTGTGGGTTTGCTACTGATGTAAAAGTCGCTTATTATGCAAACAGGAGGTTGTACTCGGGGAGGACCATCCGTTACTTTGGAATTTGTCAATTGCAGTGTCAGCTGGAACTTTGCCATTAAATTTGACTGTGAAGGCTTTAAGTTGCGGCATTCAAACAACAGTGCTTGCCAAAGAGGATCCAGCACCTGAGGAGCTTCTCAGTAAGCTCTTGTTTCTCTTGTCAGATTAACTTCCTTTGGCTACTTGCCGTTAGCATAACACCTCCTTGTATTCAATTTATTTCTACTTTAAGTTGAATTATTTAGATTAGCAGGTCAACCACATAAAGAAAGGAAATAATCTGATTTGATTAGCAGGTACTCTCAATTAACCATCCTTTTACGATGTTATATAGGTAGCAGCAGCATTTCCTATTCTCGACTATTCAATATCTTTCCTTTCTTTATGTGGTTTCCAATTTTCACATGTATTTTTCTTATTTTATATCCCATTATCAGTTAGTAAAGTTTTGGTGGATCACCATTTAGTATGCTGTTGCGGCAGAGTAATTTCTAACCATGTATTTTTGATTGGCCAGAAATTTGCAAAGCCCGATGCTTCCCTCCAGTTGCTCTTGTCTGGGATCCTCCTTTCGGCTTGGAAGTCATTCCAAATTTAGATTCTGAAATCGTAGTGGTTGATTCTGCTCCTGCAATTTGGGGATCAAGTTATGGGTCTGAGCATACTACAATTCTTCTCATGGTATGAACTAACCAATTTCTCAATATCACTTGTATAGATCTCTAGTTACTGCCTGGTTCTTGCTTGGTTGTTGTCGTTAGTGGACTTTCATTCTGAGAATTTAGTCAGTGTTTCAATTGTCACATGTCAAAGTCTGATGGCAGATTGCTGTTCATACTCGTGCAGATGCTTGTGTGTGTTTGAATGTTTTATGTTTTTTTGACAAACTGCGCATTGTAGAGAGACTATGCAGAGGGTTGTTCAAGAGTTTTACTGCTCATTATGGAATCCATTCACTGGTTGCAGGTTGACCCACACTGTTCCTATAAAGCAAGCCTTGAGGTGTCATTACCAACAGCTGCTAGTCGCTTCCTTTCAGTATATGGATTGCAGGTGCTTGCTCTACCTTTTTCATAAGATGCTGCAGTAATGATTGATGTATGAGAGTGTAAGAAGTTTTGAAGAGTTTACTGGGAAGAAATTGTTGCATCAGTGTTTGTTTTTATTTTTACTTTTTTATTTTGAACCGTGGGTAGGATTGTGCATCAATTCATGTTAGCCGTTACTGTTGCAAAAGATATCAGATACTGATTGAATAGTTACATAGTTATATGAATTCGATTGCCAATCATCGAAGGCAATTTATTGTTGTGCAGATCACTGGTTTAGCGGTGGCAGTGGTATTGTTTGCTCTTATGCGTCAAGCACGAGCTTGGGAACTGGACCTCATGGTTCCATCAGTTGTCTCATGTATTGAGGCAAATTTACGAATACCATCTCCGCTCTTACTTTTGGCACCTGGACTTTCGGTTGTGTACTACTTACTCTCCATCTTTGGAACAGAGACACCGCCACCTTTGATCAGCTTTGTGGGTGTCTCTCTTGTATGCTATATTTTTGCGAATGGAGTTGTTGCTTTATTAGCAGTCATCAGCAGCGTCATATTTGAGGCTGCATCTTTTATCCAAGTATTTTTCAAGCTTAAGTAAGTTGCTTATTCTGTGGTTTTGCCCTCATTAGAACTGCTCATGTAACTACATTGTTTTTAATTTGATTCGTGTGCATAGACACTTATGAGAAATCGTTCTTTTTCGTACTAAAAGTTGCATCAGTGTAGTGAAGGAAGGTCAAAATTTAAATCTAATCCTGGACAACACGGACACAAGATTTTATACCCTCCATTTTGCTGACATAATCATGTACATACTAGTAATCTCAAAGACTGAATTGATACTTGCAGGTTCCGGGCGTTGGAAGATCGACCTCGAGCCCGAGATTCAAGGTCCTCCAATTCAAACGTTAAGAAGGTACAGTTATTATTTAGTGTACTAGATAAGTAATTGGACAGTAAGCTTTTTTTTTTTTTTTTTTTGTAACATCTATCTTCTTTGTTCGCTGTTATGCAATATATGAGCTTTATTTTTGTACTAGCGCAATTCCGTATTGGGTGGCAGATCTGTTGATTGTTCGCTTTTCAATGAGCAGGTAATTAAGAAACTAAAATCAAGGCCATTACTAGCGATGGCTGCTGGTATTACTGTGCTTCTTGTCTTTGTTCATTCCAGCATCGGACTTATCGTGCTGTTGTTAGTACACGCTTGGAACTGCCAGACTGCTCTTTGCAGGTATTAATTCAGCTCACTTCCGTGTAAATTGGTTATCTCGAATATTCGTGATTTGTTGAATCATTTATTTTCGGTGAGACCACTTGCAATATTTACGAAAACTGTATGAACATATCTACCTGAAAGATCAATATGACGTCTCAAGCCATCCCTTAGCTGTTACTCGTAGTACTGACATTGCAGTCAGCAGAAATGGGAAATGTAGGTTTGATTCTTGTGTCATTCATGCAGGCATCGGCTACAGAAAACTCTCAAGTGGAGTGCGAAAAAAGAAGATCGTATTGAACCGCAATTAGGGAAGACCACCACTTTGGGTGATGAGTTGAAGACACCCGCTGCACTTACTTACGGAGAAAATCACCTTGAGACCTATCGATACCGTCAAGGACTTCTACTACTCCACCTTTTAAGTGCTGTTATGCTTGGCCCTTCTCTTGCTGCATGGGTTCAGGTTGTTCCTCTATCCTTACGTGTGAACTTGCATTCGTATTCTTTGAATTATCTGCGTTACCATTTGTGTCAATATAGCTTCAGAAATAGTTATCCCAATTACATTAATTGCTGCTAGGTAGAATGAGTTTCTTAACCCGTTATGACACCAATTCCTTTGATTGGGGTTGTTGCAGAGATCTGGTTTACAATCAGCCTTACCTTCATTTCTTGATTCTGTTCTCTGCTTCGGCATTGTTCTACATGGGCTGTATTTGAGCGTCTCAGATGCCAACAAATCTTTTGTTCCATTATCGCATCTATTTGGACCAAAAGTTGCCGAAGCAGGTTTCAGCTTCATTTATGGCATCGCAGGCTTGTATTGCTACTGTGCCGGACTAGGACTGGCTCCCTACAAGGCATATTATGCACTTGCTTTAATCGGTGCGGTAACCGCAGGACTTAGATTTAAGGATAAACAGACACGAGGATTAAAGGCAGACTTCTCCGGGATGAGACGGCATTCTCTTACACATAAACACATATGATTCTCTTAGACTCATTTGATCCAAATTAACTTGTTCCAGTCTGATAATAGTGCAGGTCATTCCTTTCTCCTCTGCTTTTGGTATGCCTTAACATAGCATTGTTGAGACTTCGTAAGCATTTCGAACTTGCTCATGTATAAAATCTCTGGTTCACAATATAAAGTGAGGAACAGGACGCCATAAATGTCAAAACAAATGGAAAGCCACATGGAGCAGCAGTCAATTTGCTAAGTCCTGTACTTTGTGGGAATGTAATATCTTGCAGTTAACTCATGGAAGTTTGGGTGCTCTTGGATATCACGCATTGATATTTTCAATGTCCAATATTATGGTAGAATAACAGCTAACACAAGCCATCTATACCATTTGTCAGTGCTGAATTATTATTATTATTATTCTTAATTTTTAATCATAGATTTACATATTTGTAGTATTTTAAATAATATTTTTTTATTTTTTAAAATAAAGTAGTATATATATTTTATTGAAATTTTAATTATTTTGATTAAAATCAAATATGTTTTCTATATATAAAAATATATTAGAATTATTAACATAACTTTTGGTTGGAATAATAAATAACATATAATAAAATAAAGAAATATGACAAGTGAGTAACAAGTTGTGGTGACAATAATATAAATTATGATTGTATGTCGTGGATGGCAAATTGTGGTGGCATCAACAATATCCTTAAAACATTATCTATTATAAAAACTCTAACTTTTAAATTTTAAAATAAGAAATTACGTGATTAGAAATCTTATTATACAATATATTTTAGACTGTCTTGAAACAACATTTTCTCGTTGAAATATTACTTAACTTTGGCCAGCACTTTCATTGCTTCCAGCGGCAACAGCCAGAACATGCAAAGCCATGCTGGTGGAGCCATCCATGATGCTCCATTTAAGGGATCCACTTCAAGGGGTCCTGCCCGGGGAAATCTGCCCGAGGGGACTTGCCCCATCATTCTGCCCGCCGGGTCCTGCCCCGAGAAGTCCTGCCCGAGGGGTCCTGCCCCGGGTCCCGCGCGACGGGTCTGTGTCGGGTAGACCCGCGCCGGGGATGGAGTGTAGGTCCGGATTGTTCAAACCGGTATCGAGGTTTCTAGTTCGTTATGAGCGAGTTTTTCACCCTTCAGGAGACTCTATTTTTATTTATAGATTGTAGTCGATGCGGGGGTAGGACATTTATGTGTATAGCCCGTGAGATCCGGGGGGGGGGGGGTGTGTGCACTGTAGTTCCGGATTCTTCAGGCTGTTTGGATCGTAAAGATTTGCTACGATATTTTATTTGTTTATTTTTTAAAAAAGTCATTAGCAGAATTGAATCGTAGCAATTTTTATTTATTTTTGTTTGTTGCTTGGCTCGAAGCGATTTTGGATTTGGTTGTATATGAGGAAATTTCCATTTGATGGTATGTAAGTAAGGGCGAGGAAAAGTTCCGGGATTAGGAACTTCGACTCTTGAGTCACATTTTGAAATCGACATCTGCAGAGAGTCCGTGTTGTGGTGGTGTTGAGGTTGGAGTGAAGCAGAGTAGTAAGGACCACAGAAATGGTGGTAAAGGAGCAGGACGAGAAGTCTAACAACTTGCGGGAGCTTTTGAGCAGCTTTTATGGGTCGGGCTCGTCTGATTCCGAGTCGCGATTCGAGCCCCCTGATGCATTGCAAGGAATCGATCTCCCAAATTTTGACTCCGATCGCTACATTTCTTCCTTGGTGAGTTCACAATTTGCGTTCACTGCTTTTCTCTTGCTCTCTTCTTCTTCTTCTTCTTCTTCTTCTTCTTCTGCTTCTTCTTTTCTCTTTCTGGCATAGTTCATTTATTTTGGAATTGGAGCTACCAAGCTGATCAGTATCGAGAAGACGATAAGGATTACTCACTTTTGGAAAGTTCAGTAAATTAGAAGGGTTGAGATTTTCGCAATTTTGTTTTGGAGCACTACCTCGTAATCAGAAGGTATTCGGATAGCGATTAATCGCTTTCAGATTTTTACAGGATCAACATACTCCTATTTCAGCCACGTTGTTCTCTTTTCCCTTTGTCCTGAAGTGCTGTAGAGTTGATTTCGTATTGGTACTCTACACACAGCTTGTTAAGACACCATTGGATCGCTTGCGGGATCGGCATGTTGAAATGGCAGCTGAGATCAAAACTTTGGATAGTGATATCCAATTCTTGGTGTATGAAAACTACAACAAATTCATAAGTGCAACTGATACAATACGTCGGTATGTTTGACAGTTGTATTCTTGGAAAAAAAAAATCTGTAAAACTTTTATTGATTAATATCCATTCTATCACAAGCGCTGTCTTTGTTCTTTGAACATGATCATGATTTGCTTGAGCTGTTGACAAGATGATCGTCTGTGATTGCAGCATGAAGGAAAATGTATCTGGCATGGAGTTGGAGATGGACCAACTTCTTAAAATGGTCAAGCACAAGCTTTGTTCGATCCGTCTTTAAAAATTAATCACGTGGCTTTGTCAACACTCACAAACCAGTAACTGAGTACTTAGCTGGTCAAAAGACTTGAGACCTATTCAGTTTAGAAACCCTTCAGCTGTTGATACGATGTCATGAAGCTGAATTCTAGGGAAGTTAAGTTAAATGTGGTAAAGAGAACCCCATATATCACGCACACATGTTTGAAGCATTAGGACATACTGATCTATCGAACTGGAATTTTTTTTAAATCAAAATAAAATCAAAAATACAATTTTAAAAAAAATAAATTAAATAGATATTTCAATTGATTAGAATGAGCACTTTTAGGTGTATTGCTAAAGACAAACTGCATCTCAGTAATCTTGGATGATGCAGTTTTATAACTTACGTTCTGGCTCTGCAGGTCACTATTGTTAGGGGGGAAAGTGATGGGGTCAATGCCTCTTTGTGTAAACGCCGTGAGCGTATCGAGGAACTCAACCGTACTCGAAGTCTCCTTCGGCAAATTCAGGTAAGTCATTTTTTTAACACATAGGGGAGTTTTATCTGCCTTGATGTGTTGACCTAAGACTGTAAAAGAAGATAAGAGAACTTACTGATTAGGGTTACTATTTGAAGAAAAATCCGTCGTGGCTCATGCTATTGGTAAGCCGTCCAAGGATCTGTACATTTTGCTAGCACAACGAGACGAGTGTTTACAAGGATATTATACAAAGATCTGATTTATGTAAAGGCGGATACTATTATGTCAAACACCATAAAATTTGTAGCGGATTAGTGGCTGATATTAAGTGCAAGATACTGTGTATGGTGGATGTAAACACATCCGAGCCTTTTTGGTGGAGTAGTTGAGGTAGGGTTTACCATATTATGTCATGTATCGTGATGTGACATGAAGGTTCAATACATTGCGTTCTTGAGCTTTAATAACTCATGTTTCATCGAAGAAGACTCGCAGAACCGACCTATGTGTTGTGTCGAATTCTCCTATTAATTCATTTTGTATCTTGAATGTGCAGTTTGCTTTTTCTCTACCACACCGCCTTCGTAAATGCATTAACACGGAGAATTATGTAGGAGCTGCAAAGTATTATTATGGTTCACTTCCGATCCTGAAGGTAATTTTTTTTCCTACTCCACAAGCAAGAATACAAACTGATGTTTTTTTTGGAACTTTGAGTTGAACTCTTGCTCAGACTATTATGCCTACTACTTTCTCCTTGGGTAGGACTTGCATGTTTATATATTCTTTTTTTATGTGCTGTGAACTGTGGAAGAGTAGGCGTACGGGCAATCATCTTTCCGGAAATGCAAGGAAGAATCGGATGCAATAATAAGCACCCTTATCAAAAGGCTACAAGTAAGTACAAGCTCTACCTCATCAATTCCAGTGATTTCAATGCTATTTGTAATTTTATTTCGTCTGTCTTGTAGGAAGCGAAACATGTTCTTCGCGTTCGTCCTATTCGTTGAAACCAAGCCACTAAGGAATGTTTTAGTTTTCCTTGAATCTTGTTCTTTACCACAATCGATTTTCTGTGCTTATGAGTGAAAACTGTGTTCCCAGGCTAAGATAAAGGATCGTTCGGTTCTGCTCCCAGCTCGAGCTCAAGCAGTTTCACTTCTTCAGCAACTAAAGCATCCGGTCTGAGCCTTATGTTCTCCTCATATCCATGATATGGGGCGTAGTTTGGTCGGATTTGTTGGTTTTTGTTTTCTTGGTTTCACCTGCTGCCGATTCACACCCTCGTTCTTATTTATGGGGATGAGGTAGATGTGAGATGTGACAGTGGGCCATACAACGTACTCATGGCAAGGAAAACTGTTCATCTACACACGTTGTCAAATACGGCGTTAGATGGACACAATGATGGACACATTTCTGTCATATCATGGGAAATGTGGAGTCAAACAGAAGTTCTATCTAACTAAACGGGTTGCTTCTCAACAAGGTCTCAAGGCACTGGAGACTTCAACTTCACGAAAGGAACTCCACACGGAAGATGAGAAGGTATGATTCCCTTCAAGTATAGATTTGCCTGCAAGATCTTGATGTGTTGCTACAAACCAACAGAACAATCATTGCTCCTTTTGTCCGTTTTTTTCTTGCCTTAACACGACGTCTATCTGTATCAGGATTTTATACAAGAGTTTTTGGACGAATCAGTCAAATTTCGAGAGATTTTTCCGAATGGCGAAGATCACCTTTTACATATTTCAACTGAATTCTTTGATGAGTAAGACTATTCATTCTCGATCTGTTTTCTTCTCATTCATGTACATGACTGTTATTGAGTTTCAATATTGATAAAGAGAATCCTAGTGATTTAAAACATGAATTATATATTTAGGTGCTAAATGTGCTACGTTCACCAGCTTTTCATAAGTTTTGCTGTTGCTGCAGTTGATTCCTTCGTTGATTTCTTCCAGTTACTTCAAGACTGTGAATCTTTCACTGCAGCCTGATAGTGGGGAGATGTTGGCAGCAGAGCTGAATATTTCTTTTCGTGAGTTAGCATTTTGACTGAATAAATTTTTGTCATCTCTTGGACCTCACTTTTCAGTATGCTGCTTATTTGTTCTAAATATCAGTACCAATCTTATTTAAAATTTATTTTACGCTGTAAGTATTGTCTACTTACTAAATTTTGGATGTCAAGGTCCCCAGATGTGTAGAGGATATCCACTATCCTGACAAGTGTCATTAGTGTTGTGCACGCAGGGCAGCTATTACTGGATGTTAGTAGGATGAATGAATTGTTTCCAAGGGCAAATCTTCTAGATCGTGCGTCTGAGGTATCCTTGGCCTCCTGCAGGTTGAAATTATACACCAAATGTTTTGGGACTCACAAGTACTTCTGTTGTATTTATGGCGTCATGCTTATCTGTTAGTGGTCTTAGTCCAATATATAGCTCATAATATAGACTGGGTTCACTAATTCGAAACATGTCTTATGGTCTTTCTTGAAAAAACAAATTACTTATTACTCCTGCTTGTCCAACTCGTAGGCAGTGGAAAATGCTGTGCGAAAACATGTGACAAAGCAGTTTAATTGCCTTAACATTCGCATCAAAGGTATGCCCTCTTAGTGATTGCTCTTAATAAGGTTTGCTATACAATTTATTGTACTTTACTGCAAAAAAATTGGGAGATTTCGTCTCATATTTATAGCACCACAGCTATAGCTGTGTTGATCAAATCGCTTAGCTGTCTACTTTCTAGGCATGAGATAAGTCTTCCAATTTTTGCAAAGCCTTGGGGATAATTCCTGCATGCTCTCTGAGCTCCTATTACCTTCTCGGCTGGTTTGTGTAACTACGTAGATCTTGAATATCATGATTTCGAGGTTCCTTCAATTTCTCCAACTATCACTATGACTGTTAATTTTTCAGTACGCTGTGATTGTGATCGTAGCCTCGTTACGCATAACGGATCTTTCAAGGAAACCTGATTCGCAACAGCCTCCAAAAACTCTCAAAGCTTTCCTTGAGATCGCACAGAAGACAATTATAGATGGTAGCCTTGAAGTCTTACAGGTTTAGGACCCTCCATTTACTTTTTCAAAACTGTTCTAAATTTAGAGATATAGTTCAAAAATCTATATTATGGAAATAGGATCTTTTTGTTCATGAAACAGAATGAATACAATTTGTAGCTGGTCACACGCTGTACACTTAGCAAGTTTACATTTATATGTAAATAGACTGATCAGGTCGTCAAGTAGTATGATTGAGTGTTGGTCGCGGTAGTTGGCAGCGCCCATGACCTTCAGTTCTCATTCTCGAGAGCTCAAGTTGTTGTGATTCTCTTTGTTTAATCGTGAAGCGTGCTCATTTTGCAGGACCTGAAGGAACTCCTCGTCAAAAGCAAGTCATATTTTGCCCGTTGGGCAGATGAATACACTGACCTAGTCCAAGGAGGTTTCCAGGAGCTATTCACCAACCTTATTGATCATTTTGGATTTCTTTGTGCTCAATCTGTTGAAACCCCGCCACAATCAGACGAATCACAATCTGCGCAGACAGTAACCCCAAGTTTGATTCTTTTATTGTCCCTTCTGTCAATATACCTTTATCAAACTGCTGTACCACAAATCACTGAGGTGAGCACGAAACTTTTATCACTGTTTTGTGGCCTTAATAGTATATTGCACTTCACCATGACGTTGAATAATGTTACAGGATTGATAAGTATGAGCCTCTGAATTTGTAACATTAATAAAATGATGTGTCGTGACGACGGAACTTTCATGCTGTGACTGGAGCAGTAATGATAATTTATTATTCTTTCACACTATCTGCAGTTAGTGGGGACTTGGTTTCCTGGTGGAGGCGCAATGGGATCTGAGGGACGTCCAGCTTTCGTTCCCTCTGAAATTTGTCGTTTTCTCAACACTACTGGAGAGAAACTTCTTCAGCAGGTTTTCTGTCTGCTATTATCCACAATAGGTTCCCGTTTACATGAGGAATAACCTCATCATAAGCTTTCTCGGGCTGGATGTGGTTAAAGTTACAGTGAATTAATTCTGTAGTTTAACTGATCAGTTAATTGGGTTTGCTTGGCCACCAGTACGTTGATGTTCAAGCTCGCAATTGTTCTGTCGTAGTGCGAAAAGCTGTGAACACTCCCAATTGGTTGGAGGTACGTAATCATCTCATTACATGTGTGCCTTCTTGAAAATTGGTTCTTTGTATTTCACTTGATATTTGTTACATTAGTTTCAAAGAGCTGGTACATCTGTAATGTCTCTTTTTACACATTTGGATTTTCTTTTTTGAGATTTGAAGGTGATCTTTTATGTTTTGGAGTTTTCAGTACAAAGAGCCAAGCAACATCCGTTCGTTTTCAGACCTACTCTTGCAAGAAGTATGACCTGCATCTTCCTTTTCAAACCATCTTAAGTGGCCAACATTAACGTTTTGTAAAAATTCTGTAGACTATATGAGGACACTGTATGGACAGATTAAATGAATATTTTGAGATACTGGCCTTAGTTTCTATAAATAGAAACAAAGTGTGCCATTATTGTCGTCCTGCTCTGAGCGTTATGGAAGTTAACACGAACAATCCTTGCATCACGATCATAGTTCTGAGTTCCAGGATAGAAACTAAGCAGCATCAGCATGACCCTAAAACATGCAGCTGGATTAAAGCCTTGTGATGGTAAATAGTTTGAATAATACTAGGAAAGTCCATTGCTGATCTTAAACCTATGTAGAATTCTATGTGCGTTTGTGACTCATGATCAGTCCATCCATTTTTGCTTACAGAGGACTGAAGGTCTGAAAGGTTGGTATTCAGTATGAATAAGTATTTTGTTGTCTGTTGGATGTAGGTGGGAAGGATTCAAGCAGACGTACAGCAATTACTACCTCTAGGGCCCACCCGTGCCTACCGACACAAGATTACTTTTGGCAGCGTAGGACCATCTCAAAGTGCTTCCGTAAGGCAAGATGGTCATCGCTCTGCCTCCAATCTTCCCAAAGTGCGAAGCCAATTACTGGAGAGGGATGTGGCGAGACCGCTTACAGAGAAAGTTGAGATCTTCACCAAAGTTGAATATAATCAAGTTAGTCTTCTGAAATCAAAGCCTTGCTTTTCAGTGAATTAGCATCTCGTTTCAATTTTATTCTTTGTAACTTCAATATTCATATATTCCACCAGCACTGAATGAAGTTCAAAACATAACATGAAAACCTAAACCGTGAGACATTTAAGCAAGGGCGACTGGTTCATAATATTTACTTAGTGCATTTAATCTTTGCTCACCCCCAGTACTAAGAATATTGGACAAATGATAGAAAGAATCAGTGATACATTCGTGGGCATTGGAATGTTTGAGAAATGTGACCATCGTAGAAGTGCCACATGGATCAAGATCATTTTCTTATTTTTATTCTTTGTTTGCTGTATGCAGCTGTGGGTGATATCAACAGTGGTAAAGATGACGCTGAAAACCTTTGAGGAATGCGTCCGACTTCAGACTTTCAATCGGGGCGGTTATCAACAGATACAACTGGAATGTCATTATTTAAGAGAGCCGCTGCAAAATTTGGTTGACGATGCGACAGTGGTCGAAGTCATGTTAGATGAAGTATGTGATCCAACTTATACTGGCCCTGCGACTGGTTACCCATGATGATTAGTTTATGTATTGTGCACAATCGAGGTGTTTCAGAGGACTATCTTTGTAAACGTGAATGTTAAGTCTAATTAATAAATGACATTGACTCTCTCGCAGTACAGATCCCAATATTCACGAACTACTGATTTGAATTTCTGGTTTTCAGGTTTGTTCTGCAGCATTAGAGCGATGCCGAGACCCAGTGCCTCTGGATACTGTAGCCTTGGATAGGCTTGTGCAGGCGAAGAAAGCTAAAACGGAGTCTGCTGAAGAAGAGGCACCTGCTCAAATTGGAGCTTAGTAAATCTCTAGCAGCAACTTGGATTTTTTTTCAATTACTCTTGCGTGCAACCTGGTCCCAGCTCTTGCTCTGATTTGTTGCGCACCGTGAGACAAATCGTGACCGGGTTTCGCTAGCGTGCTAGCTACCATATTAGCACATATTTTTTTAACAAAAATGGAGTTCGTGGTAACACCACTTCATACGGTTGCTTTTGTCATGCGCTATGAAATGATATGGACCAAAAGTAAGATTACTCTTGAAATCAGTCCAAGTATTATGTTGGACACCCACCATGAAAGCCATCTAGTTTCCTTAGTTGCAGGAGCCGGTTCGATGTCAGCTTCTGGATCGTTATACAAGTTGCGGCGACATGTGTTCTGGAGAAACAAGATGAAAATTAATTTGATGGCGACATCAGCAAAGTGTGGTGACTCAAAGCTTACCTAAGCACACCCGCTACTTTCCTGGCTACTCTCATAACACCTGCTACCCTGTCTTTTCCAGGGCCACGTGTCTCATTATTGGACCAATTACCACCTTCGTAGTCATAGTTACCTTGGTCGCAATTTATTTTCGAACTAATCAATACTAGCAGACCTGTTCAGGTGCTGGAATACATCGAACACCACAAAACTGTCTTCGGAGAAACAGTTGACGGGGGACCGATCGACAGGAGATCCACATATTGCTTGCCACGAGACACGGCAAATCGAGAATGATGCCTGCAATTTAGAACCTCCAGTCTACAAATTGTGCTGCCATCGCAACTAGTCTTTCTCGAAGTCATATTCCATCCTGCACCTGCGTGCTATCAACATGGGCTCCAAGTCATCATCTGTCAGGATATCAAAATCAAACTTCACCGGCTTCCCGTGCATACTCTTTTGAAGGGAACCGCGCAGCATGCTCTTTAAGGCCAAGGTACGTAGCATTCAAGGCTTCGTGACTTTCAGGACTGCGAGGGCAACTGACGACACCGATGTGTCGAAGCATCTTCTTTACAGAATATGGGATTCAAGATTAAGGAAATAGCACAGAATTCACGTTGGAATTCATAGTATGGGAACCACGCTCAACTCCGTGCGACACCGAAGCCCTTCCAGATGAGAACAGACCACGTGGCGACCCCGGGAAAGTGGAAATAGCGTTCCTTTCCCGAATCAGCCTTTCGAGAAGAGATTATTAGTGTGCTTCAGAATATACTGTGGGTGAGTTTGGCAGGAAAAGAGTAAAAGATAGACACGCCTCCATCCAACCAGCCAGTCCTCACCTTGCCTCGGCCTCTGCCTCCGACACAAATATGGGGAGGCAAGCAAAACGAACAAAAATAAGGCCAAGAGAATGTAAAAGTCCGCTCAATACCAACAGAACTTCAGAGCGAGGAATCTGTCTGTCATTTAGGAAACCCCTTCTGACGACAAACCGGCGCTGTCTGGATCGGTACATTATTATACTGCTTCATGTTTCTTTTGGGCTCCTAATTTGGGTCGTGATCCCATCCCCAACTACCAGTGCCGGCCCCCCTCTGATAATAGGCATCACGGATATGGGTGAAAGGCGGCGTTCACTGGTTTCCTTGTTGATCTTCTCCGAAGCCTCCACACTCATACCCTTCATGTCCCTTTTCTTTCCTGCACTTTGTTGTGTATGTCTTGTTGACGATGCTTCTCATAGTTAAGAACATTGCATCTTGTGAAACTCCTCAACAATTACCACTCATGTTTTTGAATTTACAGTCATAGATTCACACACACATAGTTAGTGCAATAATATCATAAAAAATCAACCTTTTTATTACTAGCTCAAAAATAATTTTATAAAATCAAATCGAGACATTTTTCTTCTGGCTACTTATAGCAATTATAGTCTAAAGTTGTCTGATCTGCCGTAAGACCCGCTAATGTTTGGTAGCTCTAATATTAACTTTCATTTCCTTTTCATGCAACGAAGCCACAATTTGATACCATGGTCTGATTCTTAGCAGATACGTTGCGTTTTCGTTGAAGAATCATGCCACCAATGACATGGCACACAAGAATCCTAGGGCACCCCTGCGGAGTGGAGGGGAATGGGAAACCCTAAATGGGAGAGGGGGTTGTGAGCCCTAATTCTGAAAATAAGCAGATCATGGATTTGGATTGGCGAATGTTGAGGATAGCAGAGGTCCTCTGTTGAAATCATACACTGTTTGAGTGCAGGCTTGCTAACTAACAAAAGAGGGTGACAAAAGCCTCCTAGTGCCTATACAAATTCACAAAACTACCTCTTCCTAATGAATCCAATTTTTGCGTAGCCTGTGACCATCTCGACAGTTGTTATTTGTCGAATGTTCATTTCTCTGCAGTGATTGAGGAGGCTACATCCGTCTCTTACTGAAGAAATGAAGAATAGACTTCTATTTAATCCATGGAAATTGTTATGGTTTGTTTTAACTTTTTCTCAAACACCCGTTTCACATCTGGATTAAAGCAACAATATATGTAATTATGATTTAACATATACATACAAACACACACAAATATATTTATATTTATGTATATTTTTTAATTTTATGCAACTATACATGGATAGTAGAATACGAAAGAGATTTGAATTGCATGGTAATTGTGGACCCTTAAAAATCTTCACACTCACATATATTTGAAAATTCCAAATATAACACTCTACATGTTATTTTTGGTTATGGAAAATACATGAATATATTCAGTCATTTTGCAATACCGTTCTTTTAATCGCTAACTTAAAATGCCAAAGACTTTCTAAATCATAATGTTCGGAGAAAACACCCATCAACCATCTCATCTCACACAGATGAGGAAAGACGGAGAGGGAAAAAGGCCCTAGGTCTTGGAAGGGGCTCCCCCATGCACGCACACACTTTTTAGGGCTCCTCAACAGGACGGGTAAATTTAAACGAAGAAGTTAGGTTTTCAGTTAGAGACTTTCGAAGCAGCGACTGCCGCTTACCCAACAGCAAAGCTTACCACAGAACAAATCACAGACAAAGTGACAAAGAGGATCACGGGACAGTGTAATTATAGAAAAAAGAAACATAGGTGAAGGCCCACAGAGAAGTTATGGCATGATCCAGATTCCGTGCGTGTCTCCGATCCATGATGGATAAGTGGACCTGCCACGTCGTCAGTATGAGTCAGCTCGAGTACAGTACACCTCACCAGCACCTGCACGCGCGCATTTTCGTTTTGCTGCTGATTTCGCAGTGAGCGGCTCATCGCTACTCCAAAGGCCAAGCCCTCATTCTCCCTTCCAGCTGAGCCCCGGCGGGTATGTGCGGGTGGAACCATGCAAAGGTTGACGTGTCAGAATTGAACAGCCAAGTCGGCACTGGAGCTCGCCAGCATGATGATGTGGCATTCGGTTCTTCAGGGTCTCTTATTGCAATCACTTTTCCTACGTGGCTTCAGCAACCGTCGTTTTCTTCAGGTAGGTCGTTATATGAGGTCATCTGGTACTCGGTGCGTGGTGCGAGGGCTTGCGTGTTCAAGTACGTGGCGGTGCACAACCGTGATCGTGCCTGCCACGTCGGCCGTGAGTTTCGCTGACATGGCCGCTGATGGCTTCTTTGATTTGCTCTGAATTGTCACTTTAGCTTCGATCAATGCCGGAAACTGCAAAATCATTTATCTCGACGAGGGAGAACACGCTACGAGGGAAAATGTGCTGCTTCGCTTTTTCAAGCCTACGGAACCACAATCGAAACAAATTATCCATATATTTTTATGTGCTCAACCATATTATAAACGTAAGAATTAGGTAAATATTATAATATTTATTACAATATGAGCTAGGGTCAATTGTAAAAGTGCAAACCCCCCTGTTCATGTAATCTTCATAAATCTATGATGGTCAAATATGGTCAAATTTTATTCGCGTCACTTAATGGGAAATAATGTGGTCAAACTTTTTGTTCGTTAGATATGTTCGTGATTATAATGGACGTGGTGGTCATCAGAATTCCTGGACTCGTGTAGATATGGAGGCTGAGATATCTTGAAAATTTGTAGACAAGGAGGTTTATCCTATTTTCGTAGACATGCAAGTTCGTCAGATCGTCGTGTTACATCGTAGGTGACGTGAGTTAAATCGATTTGGTGAAAGAATGCTTTTTGTAAGGAAAAATAAATATATATACAAATAAAAAAATCATGTCAATGATAAGCTAGGAAGAGAAAAAAGATTGTTATAATGTATGAAAACCAACCACAAATCATCATGGAGAAATAAAATTAGCAAAATTGTCATGTCACAAAAAGTTGCTTAAAAATATGCCTGAATTGCAAACTTACATATATTTTTAGTTATTTTTTCTCCGACAATTCTTTAAATAGACAGCTTTTATATAATGAAATGGCGACCCATGTGTTTCAACAAATATGCTAATTAAACTTTCTTCATTTATTCAATTGTGTTCAATAACAATCCTTGTGCTCAATTGTTGTTCCATGTTTAGTACATGCATTGAATTCTTATGAGTTGGAACCCCAGCTTATTCTATTTCTCAGCTCATGATGAATTCGCTATTTTATAAGTGTATTACAGTTACCAAACAAAAGTTCATGAAAATGTGCACAAATTTAAATATTTATTTTCTAAGCAACATTATTATTTGGGCTTTTGCATCATGCTTCTACATATAATGTTTTGATTCATTAAATATCATATTCAAAATATCATGAATGAGGTATAATTGCAAGCAAAAGCTGAGATGGCATAGGTTAGATGCTCCTTACAGATCAAGCAGATGTGGTGAAGGTAGTATCATCATCATCATCTTCATTAATATTATCACTACTAATACAATTTTTTCATCACTAGTGGAGCTTTACATGGGACAAGGTAGTTGTTGGGCAGGCTGTAAGTTGGGTAAAGTCTATACCACTACCTACTATGACAAGGTAAATTAAAAACAATAAAATCAATTCAATAAATCTGTAAGTGTTTAAAATTTACCTGAAACTACAAAATGATGAATAATATTTGTATCAAATTAACTGGTGGTATCAATTTTAGTTGTGCAATTTCAATTGGGCTTGACGGAAACTAGCAAAAATATATCCTTATTGTTGTTATTGTTATTATTATTATTATTATTATTCGATTTAAATAAATATGCTTTAAATAAAAACAAGCAAAAACAAGCTCCTCTAAGGATGAAGATTAGGGCTCCTGAGTTGAAAGAAAACTTATCATGGTATTCTTATTAGCTCTTTAGTAGATTTAGTGTAAATCTCACAATTGGTGTGGGATGATGACCCAACCAATGCATGTCATGGAAAATGAGCTGGGAGATGATATTTGTGATCTTGCCACCTGGAGGAGCCAAAAGGATCTGTATCTTCTGAAAGAGCCCAGTCAGAGCAGCCACTATCCAGGGGACTCTCCATGGCCTACACATAAAGCTCTGTTTATTTGCTCAAATCTGATTTTAAGGTTCCAATGCTAGAGACCCAGAAACACACCTGCCAACACTCCATCACCAGTGAGCCTATTCTACACTCCCCAATCAGACCCTTATCCTGTTCTTGCAGCATAGGTTCTTTTATTCACCAGCCTCATAATGAAAGCAGATTCCCACCACCTCTTATATATGTGGATATGCACAATTCTAAAACCTGGTTGTAATGCACATTCTTGCATTGAAGTGGCCAACAGATTTTATTGATTTAAATGGGTAGTTAACATGGGTTTCCCCATTCACCTCAATGCCCATGACAATCACTGACCAAGTCACACATGTGACATCACCAGCCTTACAAGTTCTCTATGAGTTCCAATTGGTTATCATCTATTTTTATTTTGTAGGAAAAATTGCCAGGTGACCATGCTTGTCAGGCTTCCTACATAAACAGAAAAAGAGAGAGAGAGAGAGAGAGAGAGAAGCTTTCTTCCAATATTTCACTGAATATGACTGACTTGCCTTGCCTTTTTTGGATTGTGCCCAATTCATCCACTTGAGATAGCCTTCCATGCTTCTGGTTGTTCTGCTTTAGATAACTGTATTCCTGTGAATGGTGCACTGGGCATTAAGAAATGGCTTCTTTATCCAGTACACACAAGAGTTGCATGAAAGGGCCCAAGTGTAAGAAATCCGTTGAATGTGACAGGGACAGTGCAACAGACTGACAATGCTGAGAAAATGATGATATCATGGTTTCTGAAATCCAGAAAATAGTAAGGGGTGGGTGGGGGAATTGACCGAGTCTAGGGCGTGCCGCGGGATCATCCGAGATGTATTTCCATCCTTAAGATGAAGTCCGTGAAGGGAGGGGTAACACGAGTCGACACTATCAATAAAACAGAGAGAGAGAGAGAGACCCGGAGGGTGGTACAATAGGTCAACCAGACAAGCACATTAGCGCATTAACTGTGAAGCAGCAAGGCTCAGCAGCGCATATCCCTTGCTAATTAGGACTCCATCCCGTTCGTGGGGCCCGTATTCTTCCCCATCCAGCTAGCCAGCTAGCTAGCTCAGTGTGTTTTGCTTCGCCTCTGCCCTGCCCTTCTCTGCCGTGAACTTGCTCCTGGGCCTATTTCTCCTCCATGCCAACTAGTCCACACCTTTCTTCCATGCCGCCGTTGTTGCTTTCTCCTCCCGTCTGCTAAAGCACTTTTTCTCGTGTAGCTTTTTGCTTTCGCCACTCGTCTAAATCTCTTACCGCCACTTCCTCATCAACAACACTCATTATTGTTGGCATTGCCGCTCTCTTTCTTTTGCGTCCATTGATCCAATTTCCCCAAGTGTGCGTGGTAGTCCGTTGTGCTCGTGTGGCGGGGTGTTTGTTGCTGTGTGTTGATTCAAGTGTTTGCAGTACCTTTGGCGGAGTTCGTAGCTAGTTGTTTTTTTTGCCAATTGGCCGTTTCTGGACAGAGTTTTGGAGGGTGTAGAGGGAGAAGTTTGGACTGCTTTAGCGTTGGCCTATGCTATTGAGGAAACGGTTCGAGGGATTGTTCTCTATGTGCGTTCGATCTTTCAGCTTGGTGGTGTTGAAGCACGGTTTGAGGTGTTGTGCTCAATTACACTGCTTTCTGGCGGTTCCTGCGGTTTCTGATGCAACTGCTTGAATACTTTTCCATCTCTTTCTTTTCCCCAAGATATGAGGAGTTGACGGGCCATCAACTCTGTGCTGTGCTAGCAGTTTGGAGGATGTGGCTCCGATGTGGTTTGGAGTAGAAGACCGCAAGCGAGTATGTAATCCTTGGCGATATAGTTTATTTTCACATGCCACTCGCCCTCCCGGACACAGGGGACGTGTTGGATCTGAACGACTTCCGACTGAGTCTAAGACCTACTTGATCGTCATCCTGTTATCCCTCTCTATCTTTTCCGACAGTATTATCTTGTTGCACTTGAAAGACAGTTCTTAAGCAGACTATTTTCTTCATTTGAGCAGTTTACGGGCATGGTAAAAAGTTCGTGAAGAGGAACTGTTTCCTCATTTGTAGCGAACAGCAGTATATACTTATCTGCCCTAGCACTGTGCTTGCCTAGTGGGTTCAGGCAAAGCGCCAAGGATTTGCAGTACACGTTCTTATGGTGGTTATTCTTAAAGCTTGTGGAATTTGCACGGGACCTGGAGCGTGCAGTCATTTTGAAACCTTCCACTAGGGGATACCAGAACTCAGAAGCAATAGGTACCCTAGTGTTACATAGTTTTATAGTAGGAAATGTTAGTATGCACTTAAACGAGAATGGAGTTGGATCGCTAGAGTACATTCAATGCAGGGACGAATCTTTGGAGCTTCCGTGTAGAGATGGTGCTACACAATTACAAGTGTATGCTGAGGCTCTGCAAGCCGCTTTTGACGAGGGGAGCGAGCTGCCGGACGCGGATTGCAAAAGCGAAGACGGCAATACCTCTTACAGTTTCTCCTCGCAAGGCTCTTCGACTCGAATGGAAGACAGTCATGAATGGTGCAGCGATTCTGGAGGCAAGAGTCGCGGCATGTCGTCATCATCTTTGAGGGCTCTGGAAAACGTTGTGACCCAGGTGTTGGAGAGCGTACGAGCTTCCGGATATGGCGAGGAGATGTGCAAAGAGTTTCGTGAACATTTTGCCCGTTTACCGGCTCGGTAAGCTATTCGATCTTATCTTCTTCATAGTTTCTTCTCAATGCCCTGCTCTGTTACTCAGTCATTGTAACACACATTTCAGAACTGTAACTAGATAAATATTAGGTGATGTTCGTTAATACGTATCCTGTTCCTCTCCTTCGGGCTCTTCCAACGGCGGCAGGAGCCATCTAGCTCTGGTGTTCCAACCAGGGTGTGGAGTATGGTTTAGTTCACCGTGACTCTGGTACCCTAGTCAATCCGTTTTCGCACTTTTTCTTCCTTGTCAATATCGTTCATAGAATGAAAAAGCTGATTCTATCGAGTTATCTATACAGGTTCAAAGCTGGTAAGTTTTCTGGAATTCATAGTCGATCTGTTTGTATAACGAAAAATTAAATATTCTCTGACTAAGTAGTATCTGAGCTGTTGAAGAAGTACACACGCTAGAAATGAAAGTAGCAGATTTTAAAGCTGAGTTTGAAAACGTAGCTGATGCCTACAATTTGGTAGATGTACAAGTCACCGCAGCATGTGGATGTTAGTAACTGGCTTGACTTAGTGACGCTAATTCTAGCAAAACTTACGGGGAACATTTGGTTCCTCTTGCATAAGTTTGATGCGCTTTGTTTGCAATGTTTTAAGTCATTGTTAAGGTGATGATTAAAATTTGGATTGACGAAATTTTCCATTGTGATCGCCCGAGTAAAGCGAATCATCAGTAACTTTAGTAAAGATAGGTAGATCATGATTGTCGTTAATGATATTCACTGAGGTTACGAGCGTATTTTAGTCTCGAGTGTAAAAAGTAATTGTTTTTTGTGTGTAGATTCATAGTATTTTGCTGAAGCGAGTGTTCGTTAAGGGCGAGTGAGCGCTATTATCAGCTCTTTGAGTTTTACAATTTCAAGTCATTCAATAAAGTCCTAATTCCAAAGTAGACGTGCGAACAGAAATGTCTTATACCTTACCACTTATGTCAAGGGTCTAATTGTTCTGAGTGTAGACTATCTTCAAAGAAAATTTCGTTAGAACAAGTGGCTATTAGAGTGACTAGAGGTTATTTCGACCACAACGCACATTGCACAATATTTGGTAGTTAAACAATCTGTGTTTTGGTGCTTCGTGAGAATACCTAATGCATCGTAGCATCACCAATAGCTTTCAATTGCTGATATTGCTGGGAAGTTTTTGCAGGTACACATTGAACATTGATCCGCATAAACATGAGGATGTTCTGCTTCACATGGAGTTATTACAGGATGCGCGAGAGGCAGAATATGCCGCCAACTGCTATAGTTATGGTGGTTATGCTGCCCCCATTCCACAGGTCCATGTCCGGAAAGTGCTTCTAGCGGGGTCACTTTCAGGTGATGCACTGGATTGCAATGCTCCCGTACCCTCTTCGCCAGGAGAAAGCGCATTTAGAAATGGACTACGAATCCCGAAACCTGCCTTCGGGTCTGGAACAAATTTGGTAGGGTTGGGACTTGGTTGTAGCCCAAAAGTCTACCCGTCGGAGCAAGTTCTGTGCCGGTCATTTTCAACTCCACTAAGAGGGATGCCTCCTTGTCTCCTTCCTTTGGAAGAATCTCCACTTAGCTGCAACGGGTTGCAGCACGCCATTCCCCGTCCTGCGTTTGGAAACCTTTCGAACTCCTTGTACAGTGATGATGTAGGCTCCGGATATATCACTGAAAATGGGGATGCTTTCACACCCGTCGGATATGAAGTTACAATTGCCACTACTGATAGACAAGGGCTTCTTAAATACTTTACATCGGCCTTGAGCGATTCACATCTGCAATTGAACATTAAGGTAAATCTAATACTGAAGTTTCATTCGCCTACAAGTTACGCAGTAAAATTATTGCCTCCGAATCCATTTTCGTTCCCGCTCGATGTAAAATTATTGCTTTAGACTTAAAATAAGAATATGAGAAGACTATTTTGCATATGGAAGTCCCTACCTCGAATTCCGTGGATACGACTTTGCTGGCTTCAAAACCATAGGAACGGGCTTTCATTCGGATTTCGCCTACTGTCCATTTTCGGGTTAAGGTTGTTATTGCCATCTTATGAAGATTGTTGATCAATTACAGGAAGCTCACGTGTTCAGCACAACAAATGGAATGGCATTGGAGGTTTTTGTTGTGGAAGGTTGGCATGGTGATGAGGTGAGCTCTTTATGTGTGTTTTTTGTTTTTGCTTAATTATTATTATTATTATTATTATTATTTTTTGAAGTTAATAAAAATTTAAAAAACACAAATCAAGGGGTATGTACTATTAAACATCTTCTAACTAGCTGATACCGATGCGTTGAGAAAAGGGACATCATTCGGCTCTTTGTATCCTGATCTTTCAAGTTTTTATGTATTTTCAGGCTGAAGAACTTAGGCGCTCAGTTTTGGAGGCTCTAGTAAAAAAGTCGGGTGCAGGAGTCAAACCTTCTGAGGATTCGAGGTTGCGAGCGGCTGCTGCAGCTATTCAATATGAAGATTGGGCTATAGATTTCAATATGGTATGTTCCAAGTTGTACTGCAATAATTATCGACTGTGTGAATTGATTCTTAGGATATTATCAATGTCAGCGATCTTCTTGATGCTTGAAAATTAATTACCAATCTAAGTTTTTGAGGATTTTGTACTCCTGGACCGCGCAGCTTGAGATAGGCGAGAAACTTGGAACTGGGTCGACAGGCAGGTTATACAAGGGAAAATACTTGTCCCAAGATGTTGCAATTAAAATCATTGAGATAGATGAGTACAACGGCAGTGGCACAGATTCAGATACCCACAGGTCTGCTCCAGCGGCGGAGCGGCTACAGATATACAAGCAAGAGGTCTCTATTATGAGGTGGGCACACAGGCAATTCGGTTTCAAAATTTATGTCGGTGGTGTTGACAATTTTTTGAAGTTCTGTGATGAAGAAAAAACCCGCGCGTGTGCGCACACACTCGTGTTGAGATCTAAATCATAGACGTTCTTAGAAATGGGAGCCTATACGAGTTTCTAACATGAAGAGGAAATGTTTGAGCGCAGATTGGTGAGACACAAGAATGTGGTGCAGTTCATCGGTGCTTGTTCTAATTGGCCTAAACTCTGCATTGTCACTGAATTGATGGCTGGTGGCAGGTGACACATTTCTAAATATCCTAAGTATTCTGCATCCGTCTGGTTTTCGTTCACTCTGTGTTGTTTTTGTCCAAAATGTGCGTTAAATGTCTAACATCAACGGAGACCACGATCATGGCTATCTGTTGTTTTGAATCATACAGTTAATGAGGTGTACTGAAATGAAAATTGTTAGTGTTTCATGTACATGTATAAGTATCATCGATTACAATCTATTATCACCTTCAGCGACTCATTTTGGGTGGATGTGTGGTTGTCTGGGTGCAGCGTCCGAGACCTTCTTGACCATCGAATGGGTGGTCTAGACATCTCATCAGCAATTAAAGTTTTGCGTGATTCAGCGAGAGGGATGGATTTTCTGCACAAGTAAGGAACTCTTTGCCCATAATACATAAGATCTGTCTTACCGACGAAGATCGGCCATAGCGAAAAGAATGTTTCGATAGAGTTTACATTGTTATGAGCTTAGGATGTCAGCTGCGTGACATAATGTAGATAGTCTGAGACATGTAAACAGCTGTTACGAGCACAAACATGAATTCGCTTTATTTTGACACCTTTAAGAAGATGAGGAACTCTCAACGGTTTAATCGGACGAAGCGACAAATTTTCTTACTATCACATATTGAAATTTACATTTCGATAGGATTACGCTGCTATATGATTCCAGAGTAGTTGGTGGTCATGGTCCTCGTTGTGGGGATCAACATGCTTTCGCGTCACGTTTTCTAACATAATTGTTCATCTGAGCAGGAGAGGGATTGTACATAGAGATATGAAAGCTGCAAATTTACTGATTGATGAGCATGATGTAAGTTTCTCTCGCCTCTTACTCCTGTTCATTCGTTTCATGCATTATTTTTCTCGCGTGCAGAGTGGCGATGAATCGATGATTTGAGATAATCATTGCAGGTTGTCAAAGTCTGTGACTTTGGTGTCGCTCGTCTGAAGCCTGCTTCAATCAATGCTGCTGAAAGAGGTGTCTGTTATTCCGCTGAGATGACAGCGGAGACGGGGACTTACCGGTGGATGTCTCCTGAGGTATACGTCTTGCTGTTAAAGGCTCTTCATGAATTCTTAAAAATATTTTAGGTTACAAAACAGTAAATTCGTCGAATTTGCTGACTGCATGTAATTAGTTGAGGTTCTTTTCTGCAAGTCTTTACTGAAACTAAAATTAGGGTTTTGGAATTAGTGTTGACATTCTCTTGTCTGTTCTTTGGGTGTCGAAGATGCTGGAGCATAAACCTTACGATCACAAAGCTGACGTTTATTCCTTTGGGATCACAATGTGGTACGTCTCATTTCTGAATGTTTCCATCCTGTTAAACCTAGAAGCAAAGGTTACATCTGCATTTTCTTTCACGTTATAATTATGATGTGATTTATTTGATCAGAATCTTCCCATGACTAAATCTCTAGTAGATTCGTCATTAATTGGTACTTTGTTCTCATTTTCGGGGAGTAGGGAAGTGTTGACTGGAGATATACCTTACGCTGGCCTAACTCCTTTGCAAGCTGCAATTGGTGTCGTTCAACGGTGGGTTTTAATCTCCTACACATAATGTGAAAAACGTTCGTCTTCAAGTTTAGGACATTGTGACAATGTCGGTTCTTTAAGATAACATCTATTTAAACTACGGCTTGTTGTAAAATCTTTCCAATCCATTCATTTGGAAGTATAACAAAAGCCGTGTTTTTGATATATCGAAAGCTGCTTGTTTGCTAGCAATTCAATGGGGTTGTTTGCCTTGCTTTGAGTAACAGTCAGAACTCGGAAGTGTAAGAAACTTCCACTTGTTTTGGTGCACATTAAACAGTCTGCATGGTATTGATAGCTATGTGCATGCTCGATTCCAGGGGACTTCGTCCGGAAACTCCACCGTACATACCTGAAGTTTTAGCGAACTTAATGCAAAGATGTTGGAATAAAGACCCGCAGGAAAGGCCCGAATTCAGCGAGGTATAGAGAGTCCACTTTTAATACTCTTGATCTTTGATTCTGACATTGACAGGTTAGAATAAACTTCAATGCAGTTTTACAGGATGTTAGGCTGTGCTTAGTTGTTCCGAGAAATTATTTTCTCACAATTTGGGGCTTTTTATCTGTTTTCTGCTAGTTCCAGTCAATAATTTACTAGCATTGCCTTGTGTGAGCCAACTTACGTCTTAGATTTTTTTGTTTCCTGCAGCTAACACACTCGTCATAAATTGAAATTTTCATAGGTACTTAGCACACTTGAGAATATGGTCATCCCAACGACTTCGAGGAGAGTAGCTTCGAGGAGGAGGACGACAAACACAGCTTTTCGGCCTTCACTTCATTAAATTTATTGTTGAAATTATTCGATGTGAAAACTCACGGAGTCCAATTTTGTAAGTGTATACAACGCTAGATTGTGTTTGTAACATTTTGGAGAAGCTTCGGTTCTCGAATATCTCATTTGACAACAACGTTTGATTGTTTTTAGTTCTTAGCTCAGCATCAGCTTCCAGGCCGTCAACCATAGTGATAACACTCCTGTCAAATAGCGATTCTTTATGTAGAGTAGTGTTTCACCGATGCTGCTACGGAACGTCCTACATCCCACTTTAGCATTAGCATGAGGTATTGTATCAACATGAGGCGCACGGTGTACATACCTTACAATCGGGTGAAGTTTGAAGGTCATTACTGCGCACCTCATGATATTTTTTTGAACGATTGTGGCATGTGTTATAAACCAGCCATGGGGGATAATTACTTCCCTAATATGAAATTGAAAGGCATGAGTGATTTTACATATGTTATTTTCAGGTTTTAAAATTTATGGATTGCGGTGTTTGAATAATTCTGTATAGTAGCTAAGGACAGATTCCAATGTTGAAAGTTGGTTTGAGCTTAGGACAGGTGTGAGAGCTATCTGTTTGAGCCACTGTGGCTGGATTTACATTGTGATCTCTGAAAGCATAGAGAAAACTTTGTATTCATGGAGTAGTGCTGAAGAAGTTAAAAGTTATGTTTGGAGTTGATATTCATGAAAAGATTGAATTTTAATTTTGTAGATGTTGAGTGTAAAACATGGATGTTCATATTGTGGCTTCTTGGAAATTGCATTCTTGAAATGGTGATTCAATTAATTAATTAATTATTTTTGTTGAAGTCTAATTTTTTTGTTGGAATATATGTGTGTGTATATATATATATATATACACGTACATATACATATGAGAAGATTATCATATTCAATATTTCATTTTATTTATCCATATTTAGAATATTTTTGTAAGACACTTTTTGAATTTGTATTGAGAATGTTGTATAAATAGATGTCATCCAATGGACAACTATTTATTTAGACAAAGTATCTTCTTGTTAGGAATAAATGTGGTTTTGTTTGATTTAGTTTGTTTAAGCCACCATTCAATTTAATCAAATCAAGATCAAAATGTCCAAATCAAATGTAAATCAAATCATTGAATTTTAAATTATATTTAATTAAATTAAAACTAAACTAAAATTTGGAATTTGAAAGAAAAAAAATAAAAAAATTCAAACTATATTGGAATTTTGACAATATAAACTATTAAGGGCAATTTTAGTTTCAATCTATGCCATGAATTATGTCACTATGTGATAATTGTATTTATTTTTAATTTGATAGAGATCTCCAACTATTGTATATAGTATCAAATGATATTAATTTTTTTTGGACATGGTGTGAGTTAAGTCATTGTAGAAAGGTTCTCCACATATTTTGAAGAAACTTTGAGAAAAAAAATAGTATTTAATTTGTTTTATTTTGATGATACAAATAATTGATAGCAATTGATAAAGATTTGCCATTGATAAATACTTGCCAAGTTGAACAATGAATTTTAAAGTTATTTTAATGCCTTACTATGATGTATGTATTGTACAACAAAATAAATAATTATATGTAATAAGATTATCATTATTATTCCATAAAATAATCATATTTATAACAAGAATCACATTTTGCTATTATATATGCCACTAAATTCCAAAACCTTGCTTGCAACGTGAATTGGAATGACAAAGCCCTTATCAACCAATTTCAATATGGATTAAAAGATAATATCAGACTTATTATTGACAATGCCAAAAACAAAAACATTCATTGTTTAAGCCAATGCATGTAACAATCAACTTTTTGAAAGATGCCAAAAACAAAGATTTGGTTAAAGAAATATACAATAAGTCATGACAACAATTATTAAGTTTTCAAAAATTTATTCATCAAGGCCAAAATCAATACAAATTGATACAATATATTTTAAACCTCTCACTCACCATGAAAAGGCTCAATGTTGTCAAGAAGGTTTGTGTTTATATTGTGGAGAATCTAAGTACATTTTTCAATATTGTCCAAAGAAGCAATACAATTATAAAATGAAGAGCATGATTGCCAAAAAAGATAATGTGTTGGGAAATAAAAATTTTCAGCTACAGTAGGGATTGTGTAGCTAGAATCCTATGCAACACCTAATAAAGATCCTATATCTCTTTAGATCTTTCACTTTGCTTTACAATAGATGTTTGTTTAGGGCCAAAAAACTACAAAGTCCTTGCCTTATTAGATTTTGGAGCTTTATCTTTTTTCAGACAAAAACTTTCTTAAAAAAGAAGAAATATCTTTAGTCAAAAAAACTTAGTGCATGTAGAAGTCATAGATGGTCGTTTGTTTCCTAAAAATGTTACTCATGAAACTATTCTTTTAGATGTGCCAATTAATAGATATGATAGCTTGATTATATTTAATGTGATTAGATCTTCTTCCAATCTAATTATTTTAAAATTAACATGGCTAAAGAAGTATAATCCTCAAATAAACTAAATTGCTTGTAATTTCAATTTTTTATATACTTTAATTCAAAATTCTATTATTCAAGTAGAAAGTTGTAAGTCTAATACAACCAAACTTTTATTGGTAGATGTAAGAGTTTTTATGTATGTTGCAAAAGAATGGTCATCTTTTCTTATTTATGCCACAACCATTTTTGATAAAGGAAAGACTTTAAGCAACATTAAAAGCTAGTACTAAGATTACTAAGATATTTTTTAGAAAAAAATACAGATATACTTTCAAAGCATTGTTTCTATTATTTTTTAATCAATCTTTAAGAAAGAGCTCAACCACTATATAGATCAATCTATAGCTTATCACAAAATGAATTGACTACACTCAAGAAATATATTGATAAGAACTTAATTAAGAATTTCATATGCCATTCAAAATCTTTAGTAGAAGTTCCTATCTTATTTATGAAGCAAAAAAATTGATCACTATAGATGTTTGTGGATTATTGATATGAGTCATAGAATTGACTCATTGATTAGGATGTGGCTATGGTAGTATTGCAATTGTAGTTCAAGGTTGTTATATTCTTGTTTTTTTTTTTTTTTTTTTTTTTTTTTTTTTTCCGGGGACGGAAGAAAGAACAAAGAATATATTCTTCTTTTTTTTCCTTTTAGTTCTTGCAACTTTAGGTTGGCAATCAAAGCATCTATATTGTACATGCAAAGGATGCTAGTATGTTTGTCAAAAGATTTTGGCACTTTTATAATCAAGATTTGTGCTATAATAATATAAGATACAAATTTTTGAGGTGTAAGGTGTAAATAGCTTCAATCTAAGTTCAAGATACACTGAAGGAGCAATTGAAGGGATCTATCTATGGATTATATGAGTTAGAAGGATGTGATCTTTTTTAAGAATCGTTGTGTAGGATTAGCAATGAAGTTTGGAAGTGAAGGCACTACTTACAAGGCCATGGGTGGTATATTAGAGTACTCTTGTCGACGGCCTTAAGTGGTTCATCTACTTGCAAAAGTTGATAGACTTTGATGGATGGTAGCTGGATCTTAACAAAGAAAGAACTTTTGCAACCAAAATGTCTAGTAGCCATGTTAGGTTCCTCTATGAAAAAATTGTATTAGGCATTGAATATCAAGTGGTGTTCATGGAAGAAAGGTTACTTTGCTCTACTCTCCTTGGAGTTGTACCAATATGGTGTTAATATTGATGTGAGTAGAATGGAGAGTCTTACAAGAATTAGTGTTGTGGAGGGCATTATAGCTAGTCGCAAGAATCAATAATAATAATATCCTTCATCAGCATTCTTTTTAATAAGAATTCTGGAGTGGATTAATTTAGATGGATGAATTATAGTCAAATGAATTATGGCAAAACTATTTTAGATTAAGATAAATTCAATTTAGAATTTGATGGAATTAGAATTTTGGATGAAATTTTTATTAAATGAGATTTAATTCAAAAATGAATTTAATACATGGATGAATCATCATTTGTGAATGAATTATTATTCAAAGAAGAAATATCATTCAAAGTCAAAATTTTATCAATGAATAAATTTTAATTAAATAAAAATTAAATTAAGATATAAAAATATAAATAATAAAATATAAATATGAATATAAATTTATTAATTTATTTTAATTATATAGAATTATTGAGTGATTTATTATAAGCCTGAGTTGCTACTAGAGATTTTGTTTGATTACATGGATGATTTAAGAGATTGTAGGTGTGCATTGGTTAAGATTTAAATAAGAACTAAAATTTCTAAGGTTTCTATAATTAATTCGCTTGTTGTGAATTAGAATTAATTTCTGACTAATAGAGGTTATTTTAGCTTACAATTGAGGACTTAATAAGATCACTATTAAAATTTCTCAATCAATTAAATCAAACAAAGATCTATACCAAAATAGATCTATAAGGAGCATACAACCTTGTACACATTAAAAAACAAGATGAATGTAAGATTGCATTTTGAACCAAGAATAAGCATTTTAACTATAATGTTATATTTTTTGGACTTACAAATACACCAATTACTTTTTAACATCTTATAAATGAGTTTTTTTAGAAATTTTTTAGATGATTTTATTATTTTTTATCTAAACAATATTTTAATGTATTTTTAAGAATACAAAAGAGCATAAATTTTATATTTTTCATGTGTTACAAAAAACCTATAGATGCAAGATAATATGCCAAGATAAAAGAAATGGATATATTACACAACTCAATTTGATTTTTTAACATACATCATTTTAAATGATGGCCTTATGATGGATCCTAAGAAAATTCAACTATCATGGATTAAAAGATTTCAAAACTAGTAAAAAATATGTAATATTTTTAAAAAAATTTAATTATTAATAAATCTTTATTAAGAAATTTTTTCAAGTTAAAATTCTACTTACACATTTGACTTGTAAAGACAAAGTTGAGTAAAATAAAGAAGCTAAAACAACCTTTAAATCTTTGAAGATAATTTTTGTTTTTGTACGAATCTTATATTGCATCAACTTCTTTCAGACATATTTTATAGAAACAAATGAATTAGACTTTGCTTTGGATACATTATTATCATAATTGAGTGTAGATGATAAACTTTATTAAGTAGCTTTTTATTCAAAAAAAATTTCAACAACTAAAATCAACTATGAGATTCATAATAAAGAATTTCTTGCAATTGTGGATTCATTTCTAAAATATTGTCATTATTATGAAAGCACTTCTAATTCAATCAATATGTATATATATTATAAAAATCTCTAATATTTCATGTCAATATGTATTTTGAATTTTTGTCAAGCTTGTTGGAACATATTTTTGTCAAGATATGAATTAAAGATCACTTATTGAGAAATAAACAATAAGATTTTTTAAATGCCCTTTCTAAATATTTTTATCTTGCACCAAAAGAAAAAAAATGCAACTTTTGATTAACAACAAATAATTTATTTTGATTTAAATGAAGTTATATAGGCCTTAATAATGATTAAATATCATGATGGTCTTCCAACCTTGATATAAGATACTATTGATGAGTGAGATGACCTATCAACTACTTTTGAAGGAAACAAAGATAACAATAAGTAGCAAATACAATTTATTGCATCTTGAACTTCTTCAACATATAATTATTATTTTTATATATAATCATTTTTTTAAAAAAAGATAAATATTAATTATTTAAATAAAAAATATTAGGTAGAACATAAATATAAATAGATTTAAAAATATCTTATGGTGAAGCTTTTTAAAAGCTTCATAGAGGCAGATTTGACCTTAAACATGTTTGTAGTTGATTGATAAATTAGAAATTTGGCTAACAAGTTATTCACATATTGCACATGTTAGTCGCTTGTGGTATAAGGTGATCATGTAAGAAACTTATTTTGCAAGTTAGATACATGTTGAAGGTTCTATAGAATGTTGCCATATAATTCTTAATTAGATAGTATACATAGAATCAAGAGTGAAACCTTCTTCACTCTTGTCAATGCCTTTCTTGTTCTTAGTCATGTTTTAAGAGTCTTCAATCTTCTTGTCTTTGGCAATAGCTATGTTAGTTCTAATATTATACTATCTTTGAATGATTATCTATTCTTTTTCAATGATATAAGAGTGTATTGATACTTTGGTTTTTTGTAATATATGTCCTTGATAAAAAGTTCCACATTCATTGCAACTAAATCTACCACCTATTTATAATATAGTACTAAAAAATATTTTGATTGTAATCCATATTAATGCCAAATATTAGCATAAAGTTGATAAATTTCATACAATCTTTTAAATTCAACATCTTTATACATACCTTTTTCTACTAACATCCTTCTTTCAACTTACTAAAAGTTATTCAAAGTCATCTATGGCCTATTCACAACTCCTTAAGGAATTCTTTGATAATCTTTTGTTGAGCTTTAAAACTACATATCACCTATTATAGTATTTCTTCTCTCTTCTTTGGATGCTTCAATAAATATTGAACATATAAAAATTATTTATAGGTTTTTTTTATGGATTTTTTAAAATTCTTAATCTATCCAACTTTTTTCTTCCTTTAATGTGCTTAGGTACTTTTCAACATCTATCCATTTATCTTCATACAAATTTCTTTAAAATAATTCTAATGGTATATTTAAACATACACACACACACACACACACATATATATATATATATATATATATATATATATATATATATATGAATATATTTTTGATAATACATTAGAATAAAAATTTGAATCCACATTATCTTCCAAATCAATCATATCCTCTTTATTATAATATCTTGCTTGTAATTACATGTATGAAATTAAATTATCTTTTCTTATAATATGCTTAAATTTTAGATTTATAGATTTCATTTATGCTATCTATCTTAACATATCAATATTGGAAGTAGAGAAACATGTAATCATATCTAAAAAAAGGTAGATATTTTATTTTTATAACTACAAATGTACCAATCAAGTACTCTTTTTTATTTTTCATAGCAATTGTTATACCCCATAATTCTCTTTTGATTTGTGCATATATCCTTTGTCTAGCATTTAAAACCCTTGATCCAAATCTTACTATATATCTATTCTCATATTCATCATCTTATCCAATAGTCCAACTTATTCTAATTGGATTTGCATCAATTCTTAATATCACATTTCTTTTACATTCATAATTCACTTTCTTCAAAGATGGAAGTGAAGAAAGAAGTTTCTTCAACTTTTTCATAACTTTTCTTTATTCTTCTTTATATTAAAGTTTTTGGTTTTTTCTCAACAATTCATATAATAAATCTAATATATGTGCAAAATGTGGTATCCATATATGATAGAAAATAAATGTTCTTAAAAAAAAAAAAAAAAAAAAAAAAAAAACTTCCATTGTGTTTGCACATTCTTTTATCTTATTAATAATACCTGCATTTTTAATTTTTGACTTGCATCTATATGATCCATATACAAATCCAACAATAAGAACCTCATTAATTCTAAAGATAGACTTTGTTCTCAATAAATAAATTTTTATTTTATTATATTATAATAATGGTATTTTTATAAATATTATTATCAACAATCATAAAATTAGAACATTAGAATAAGTATTATAAATTATAAAGTTGAAAAACAAATATTGAAATCAAGAAGTAAAAAAATCAGAAAGCTACTAGATCCATAAACAAGCATATATTACTATTATAAGTTCATTGAATTGATCAAATCACTAAATATTTAGAAACAAAAAAATAGTTTTTTTTTTGTAATAGAAACAAACCTGAATGCATGATTAGATCATCATTCCTTTTAATTGAAAAACAATACAAAGGAAGGATTTTAAAGAACCTTCATTGCTAAAATTACATCAAGTTACTCCTCCTAGTCTAGCTGTACTAAACTTTTTGCAATATATTGTTAAGATTTAGCAACAAAAAATATCACTTCTTAAAAAGTCTCTAAAAATAACTTTAGTGGAGATTATTTTCAAGGTATTAAAGCACCATTAAAGAATTAGGACTATATTACATGTCATGAGATCGAGCCTAACAGTAACTGATTCCAAATTTTTCTATCCCCTTGATATTTAATTCAATTTCGAACTTTGCTTTTGTCCTCTTCACGTTCAGTTTAACTCTAAATGCTGTCTCAACTCAATCAAGTTTCAAATCTACTAGACAATAACCACACAAAGCTGTAACATATTATCTTGCCTCTTTTATCTTAGAGTTTTCAAAAACCAACAAAAGATACTGAGCAAAGAACTGCCACAAAGCAAGCTCCACCCCTAATAAGTCACAATCTATCCCCAACCTCTCATTCTCCATCATCGAATGCAACAGTCAGTTTCACCACCTTTCATTTGTTCCTATCAACCCGAACCCGCCCAGACTTTTCTCGACCTGCAACACAAGAACCTCTTCCATGATTCCAGTCTTAATCCTCAATATACTGCTCAAAATTCAACGCATTTTCTCGACGCCCTGACCGTTACTCCTATTAAAATCTTTCACCTCACAAGTGGTCATTCTAGAATGGGTAATTGGCAACACAAAAACATGACACTAACACGGCCACTGTGATTGAGTAGTCCATCTGGAAGAGGACTTCAGGGGAAAATTAATGAAGAAGACAGAGCCCCAATGAATGAACCACAGCCAAATGGAGATTGCAGAGTCCACACGTATCCCAATAGGAACTGAAAGTTCATCCATGTGTAGGGTGTCGGCAACGGGGAATTTCATTTCTGTAACGACACTAGTGCGAGGAAACTGACAATTTAGAACTAGGGGATGATGCGTCCTAAGGACCACCAAGTCGTAGATACAATGGAAACCTCGGCAAAAACCTCATGAGTTGAATCCTTGTGAGCATTTATTCATGCATTTGTATTAAAAATCCTTCAAAGATGATCGACTCAACCAGATTCAACATAGCGCAAGTTTGGACGATATAATTTGAGGCGCTCTACAATACTCAATATAATCCATTTGAAGCATAATTTCATTGTTAATACCTCTCGTGCGCCACTAGAAGCAAGTAAGTCGGAGAAGACTTCCATACAAACACCCACAATACTACAGCTTTACAACTAGTGAGGTTCACTCCTGAACTAGCACAACTTCCAATTACAAGAAATAGTCAACATGCAAAATCAAGTCATTATAAGTTAAAACTCCTTCCCATAAACAGTATCAATCCTCAGCCTGACTATGTTTAATACCTTCTGGCTCGCAACCGACAGTACGTGGAAAGGAGCTCAAAAGCTTCAAAACGTTCCACAACCAGTGGTATCCAGAGCTTGAGGACACAATCCACATTAATATTCATTTTTTGGCTCGCAACTTCACGCCAAGAACACGTTCCAACTTCGCGATAATTTGCTGGTTGGGAATTGCTTTTCCCGACTCATACTCTTGAACAATTTGTGGCTTTTCATTAATGAGCTGCAAGTCACAAGATCACAACTGTTACCTCCAAGGAACAGCCATAAGGCATTGAACATCTCATAATATGAATTGACATGGCCAATAACCAAGCGAAAACTAACAGAAAAGACAAGTTAAACGCTCTATTTTAAGTACATAATCCGTATGAAAGTATTCATAACAGGGTAAGTACACCACACTTGAAAGAACACGCTGAAAAGAAATCTGCTCCTACCAATCGCTATCCATTTCGCACAATCGCAGTGCCACGTAGTGTAAATTGCAAATTGCAAATAATTGGATTGGATACTGAAATTGCAGGACAAACCTGTGCAAGTTGAGCTTGTGTCATCTTCTTATCCAACCGCGCCTGCATAATGTTCTTCTTGAGTTCAGAAGGCACTTTCTCGTCTGTTTCAAAACCAAGTTGCAACAGTTCAATACAGTTCTAAATAAACACGAAACCAGTTGCGCATAATAGCTTAAACAATGACCATCACAGACAGTTAGTCATGTCTATTACCAACTTTGTTACATCAGCAGCTTAATCTAATCACTCAAAAAAGAAGACTAATTCTGTGGTACAATATAGAAAAATTCCAGCTTCTGAAACCTCTTCAACACCGAGCAGGATTGACACTTACAACGAGAGCACAAGTCACGTAAAGCAGATAGAGTTTTTTTTTACTCACGAGCAAGAACATCTGTCTCGTCATCAAGCTTTTTTGTATTCAAGCCAGTCGCACTAGTAGCTGCCTTGTTTGATCCAGCGTTGACTGCACAAGTGATCAACTAACAATTAGATTCATGGCCGAATAGTTTTGAAATCCACTTGCCGTCTCTTGGAAAATGAAGCTTCTTATTGGCGTTATCCAAAAAATTCAGAAGTATGAAAATGAGACCATTACCAAGATACTACTAATCTAGATTCCCAACAAATCATTGAATCCTGCAGATTTCAAGTGTGAAATACGTGTAAACTAACCCTCCAAAATCGAGATCATATACATAATCCAATTCCTCAAAAGCACAAGAAGGAAACATTGAGAATGCCACATTCGAAGAGCATACACAACAAGTACCCCAGGCAAGGAAAATGGAGCCATAATTCAAAAAAGCAAAAGGACAGATGACCGAACCCAAGAAAATATTAAAGAAATATACATTTCTTAATGGTCTCGATAGGGGCGCCAGCTCGTCGCGCTGCATTAACAGCACCCTCATCTTTTTTTGCAGACGAAGTTGGGGCCTTCTTCCTGACAACCACAGGCTCCCAGTCTTGTCTCAAATCTGCCATACTGATGAGTAGATCTCACAAATGAAGACCACCTAGGAAGCAGTGCAAGGAAACCTGCAAATAAAGGGTAATGAGTCCATAAAATGAAAGCTGCAGCAGCATCAATCGTCCAAGAACTAAAGTAAAGGACAGTTTACAAGTAGCCTGCGCTCTATACTAATACACCATAACATACCCATCAGTAAGCTAAACTGCGGCGTAAGAAGACAAAAACACAGATTCTTAAGCAGCCATAACTTCCCAACATACCGACGCCGCAACACAAACCAATACATACGGGGGGGCTTTGAACGAAAAATCTCTTTTCCAATTTTAAATGAATGAGAAGGAATGGGTGAAAGGAAACAACTTGTTTTGAAAACTGTATTGAGACGGCAATTAGAGGAATTAAGTTTGCGACCAAAATGCTCAGAAACTCTGGTGCTGTTAGCGATTCATGAACTTGTCAAAACAATGGCAGCACGAGCAAGAATAAAAACCGAACTATGCCAACCCTAATCGACATACCAAAGCTCTTCACTGTCCCCTGAGCCAAACCCAAACAACACGTTGAAGCAATAAACTTATCAATTCAGGACCTGCACCTATTCATACACACCCAAAACACTTGATAAGACCCAGTTACCTAAGAATCAAGTCTCGACCACAGCCAGTTGAGTGACACCCCAATCACACAAGTGCAAGGCAACCGTCCCACACTATTCAACCTAATCCAACAAACCCTCTCACACACCCGCCGCTCAGTCGAAGGTGGTGCTCAAAATTTCCTCCACGACAACGACGACAACAACAAAAATAACAACAATGCTGCAATCACTGAACCCCACAGGACTGTAGAAGACGAGACAGAAACTGAAGCATGTCAAAAGGTGAAGGGATATCGAGCTCACTTAAAGATCAACAAATTTGCGCAGCAGAAGAAGATTGGGGGATGAAGATAGAATGTGTAGAATCTGAAACCAAGGGAGCAACCGCCGAACCCTTCTTCTGAGGTCTGGAATCTGAAAGACCTTGTGCAGTGAAACCCTAAAAAGTACGCGGTGTTGACCGTATGTATGAGCCCATGGCGAGGTAGCTTCCAAGTGTGATATGGTGACATGGGATTTGAAGAAAGTGCAATCTGCCGAGCTCTGTTACCCCTTAGCCTTGTGCGGTGCTTTGAATTCCACAAACAACTTTTTCGACAATTAGAACATTCAAATAGTTACATTCTAAAGTCTACATTCTAAAAGCTAATTTTTTGACAATTAAAAATTGACCTAAATTAATATCCTCTACAAAGTAACCTATTCTACTTCAACTATTAATTACTTTAATACTCACACTTTGTTATTGATCAAAGAAATTTTAAAGCTAATGTCGCTATCAACATAAGATGCCTATCTTTTACTAATACTTTTATGAGTAAATCAACAAGCATGTCTTTTGTTGCATAATACTTCATATCAATCACTTCCATTTTAATCTTCTCTCTTATAAAATAATATTAAATATCAATGTGTTTAATTCTTAAATGATATTTAGAATTCTTTGCTAAAACAAGGCATCCTTGATTCTCACACTTCATTGAAATTGCTTCCAATTGTACAAATCCTATGTCTTCTAAAACTTATCTTAGTCAAATTACCTCTATTATATTATGGCTTATTGTCATGTACTCTACTTCCATTGTACACCTTGCAATTATTGGATATTTATTGCAATTCCATGAGATTGATTTTACTTCAAGAAAGAATACATATCTTGTTGTGACCTTCTATCATTTGCATCTCTAATGCAATCTATATCACAATAACCATGTAAAAGAATGTTATCACGTGTAAAGCATAATTTGAAGTTCAAAGAATCTTTTAAGTACCTCATGATTCTTTTGATAGTTACCTAGTGGATTGATCTATTCGTTGACATGTATTGACTTATAATACTTATTGCATATAAAAGATCTATCATTATATCAGTCATTGCATACATAAATGAACTTATTATTATTTTTTTTATAAAATACCTTGCATTTAATCTTCAACTTTAGTAGTTCCATTATCTATAAGCTTCATCAACTTTAAATTAGCCTCCAAAGATGTTCTAATGGGCGTGCATTCTTATATGTTCAAGTGTTTCAATACTTCCTTGATGTATTTGCTTTAGTTCATTGTAATTGTATTCTTACTACAATCTCTTACAAATTCTACCTCTAAATAATAGTGAAGATCTTCTAAATCACTCATCTTATATATTTTTTTTCCTGACTTTATCTTCAATCAATCCATCATCTTTAAAATATTGATCTAGATGATTAAACCATTAACATAAAAGATGATAATTTATAAGAATTTTTTTTGATTTCATTACATAAATGAAATAATCTACATTATTCCTTACAAATCCTTCATTAACAAAAAATGTATCAATATATTAATATTATATCTTTGATAATTGCTTAAAGTCATACAATGGTTTCTTTAACTTATAAATAAGGTATTCTTTACTTTCTTCAAAAGATCCTTGAAAATAGATTATTTTCAAGGATATAAATCCCAAAAAATCAAAAGGTCAAAATAGTCTTGTATTACTAAAAGAGAGTAGATAATCACTAAAAAAATGGTATAATTTTAAAACTAAAATAGCTATTACAAAATACAAAAAAATTAGATATTTTAGAAATAAGATTAAAAATTACAAAGTCATTCACAAGAATGAAGAAGACTTTCTTCTTGTCTTTATATGTACTCAATAATTAAAAGCTACATAGCGATGTTCTATAAGACCTTTGACACATGTCTAACTTACAAGATATGTATATGTCTTGTAATACAAGTTTCTTACATAAACACCACATGTCCAACTTGTATTACAAGTTATCAACATATTTAGCATGTGGTCAATTTATTGGCAAAGTTTTCAACCTATCAATCAACTATAAAGATGTATAAAGTCAAATCTATGTCTATAAAGCTTTTTCATAAGATTTTACCAAATCTATTTATTTTTGTTTATTTCTATCTAATTCTTTTAATATGTGTGTCCATGACATTACCTCTTCTTTTAGGAGCGAGTTCCATAAAGAACAGTGATCATATCTTGATAAAATCCAAGATACGACAAACTATATTTCTCATATAATTTGATCTTTGTTTCCTTGAAAAGTATTTGATAGATTCTTTCATCCATTAATAATATTTTATACCAAAACAAGAACACTACTTTAATTATTGATTATTATTGAAACTTTCATAACTTTTTTTAAATAGAATATTTGGAATACTATTAAGAATGTTTCTTATTTCTAATAATATTATCAAATATTAAAAGTCTCTTTTAAGGTTATGATATCAAACATGTTGTATCTCACCATCTATTCAAGAAAGAATATGATAATTTTGAGTTTTTTCATCTCTATTAAGTTGTTTTAAAGATTGTAATAATCTCAATGCATCATATAATAATTTAATAATTAATATCTCTTAAATTAAATCTATTTTTTTTATTAATTCTTCATCTCTACAATATCTCTAAGATATAAAAATCACAAACAATAATAGAAGTTAAAAATACAATCTTTTATAAATTTTATTTCTTTTATAGTAAAGAATTACTTTACTTTTTATCTTAATTTTCATGGATATTGTCAATAAAAAGCATCAATCTTCTTTATTACATTTAAAAGATTCTTAGATGGCTTCTATGTGCATTTACTAGTATCATATTTGTGCTAATGTATAAGATATTTTAACCTATTTTGGCACTACTTTAGATGTAAGACTTTTTTGACCTTGAATTCTTGATTATTGTCTATTTTTATATGAAAAAGTAGCATTTTTCTTCTTCTCAATATTTGTAGTATCTTGTATGGCTCATAAAGAGATATGTAGAATATGAAATGAATCTTCATAGAATTTAGTAGGTCTAAATAATAAGTAGCTAAATTGATATATTCACAAATAGAAAATGATCAAAGTTTATAATAATTTAATTTGTCACAAGGACAATTAGACTTGATATTATAATAAAGTAAGTATATCTTATTGTCAACATGAAACTAAAGTTAAATCTTGTAATATGTATCTGTGTTGATTTTTTGTCATTCTTAAACTTCCTTAAATTATGCCTTTATTATTATATGTAGTTGTAATAAATAATGAGTCAAATCTTCTACCATAGGATTATCAATTTTTAAAAAGTTAAAAGCATTAATTCATAGATGATATTGATAATATATATATATATATATATATATATATAAAATATACCATGTTATTATAGGTAAAAGTTTATGAATTTAGAACAAAAAATATATTTATTGTATTTAAAATCATAAATTCTTATAGATTAGCATAATTTTTTTTAAATAAATAGAAAAATTTAAAATATTAATTATAAAAATATATTAACAAGAATTAGATTATTTTTATTTTAAACAAAATCTTATTGTCTGAACTTATATAGATTTGAAGAATATATCCATAGTACTAAGTAAAGCTAGATATATAGTTGCATAGTCAAGCTTGTATTGTCATGGAAAACAACCTTTTATTGATAGAAGCAATATACAACTAGAAAAAAAAATCAAAAATAAAAGTAAAAATAAAAATAAAATATAGAAGAAGGTGACTAATAATAAACATTAGTCCAAAAATTTAAGAAAAGAGTTGTTATTCAAAAAAATTTGAGGAAGAGCTTCCACAATCTAAAGTTGTTTAAAGTCTTACCTTCATTTTAGTTGTCTTGTATCTTTTTTTCTTGTATGAGAGCTCCACATTTTTTGGTAGATTGTATCTATGTTTGTCTTTAGTTTTTTGGTCTTGTCTTAATTTTTGTAGTATTGGATTATTGATTTTTATGGTGCAATATCAATATTTCTTAGCAGCTTCTAGTATAATACAACAAAAATTGTTCTTTTTTCCTATTACATGAATATACTATTGTTGCCAATTATTTCTTCCTGAGCTAGTGTTAGAACTAGAAATCTTGGTGTGTATAGTTGCTAGAGTGACAATATTCTTTATTTATTCAATATTTGTGATTTTATTACCAATGAAATTTTTTCTATATTACAAGTCTTTTATTTCATCAAGAGTTTGATTTCTATCCTTGTTATGTAGTATCATTAAGCAATGTGGTGTTTTTCAATTCTTCGCTCTTCAACTTTATAATTTAATGGTTGCTTTATGTGTTGTTACAACCTTGGTGGTCACTCATCATGGTAGTTGTGCTTTGGTGCTAGTCAAATTGCAATCAAATTGTCAAGATGTAATGTTGTTAATCTTATCTTCTTATTAATAATAGCAGACCGCAAACATTGGTGCTAGTTGTTGGATTCAAATGGAATGCAATTATTATCAATATATATATATATATATATATATATATATATATATATTTAGTAGTTATTGTAGGAATTGCAATGGTATCATCATTCTTGTTGGTATTCTAAGATGGCATTGGAAGGCTTGATGTAGTTGTATCAATACTAGTTATTAACAATCTTTTTTTTTTTTTTTTTTTTTTTTTTTTTTTCTTGTTTATCAAATGCTACATCTCTTATTGCTTTGTCACCAATTTTTAGTAATTTTTGGTAAAATATAGCTATCATTGTATTTGGTGGTATTTTCTTCTAAAAGCATTAAGGTAGAATTTCAAAAAAAATTGTTGTATTTATTGCTCAAAATTGTGGTAGTCAACTCAAGTAGTTGTTTTTCTAAAATTTGAAGTAGATAATGGTTTTTGGTTTCTCTTGAATAATAGAGCTACTATATTCTTTCATCTTAATAGAATAAAATGCTACAATTAGATAATTGTAAGACTTGAGAAGATTCATGAATAAAGTCATGATAATATCATATTCGTCTATTAATTTATTATCAAT